CCTCATGAATTTCTCGGGGGAACCCCTTTTCCTGTGTTTTCTGCGTAGCCCTCTCGCCAAGTCTTCCTTCCCCTCTCCAGGAGGCCGTGTAAGTATTTGAGAAGCCACCGTGGAGATCAGGGCCCAAAACATATTTCTGAACTGGACAAACTATTCGTGCGAGGTTACGGCCGCTGAGATCAGGGGTGGAAAGAATGGAGTGGAAAGCCCAAAATTGGGAATTGGCGGAGTTCCCAGCCCCACATGGCTTTCCCGTGCAGCACCGCGTGTCAGAGAGGATTCCCAGGCCAGCATCCAGGGCCCTCCCTGGCCTCCTGCAGAGCAACTCTGGGAACCCGGACAGCCACTTGACTCCTTAAGGGAGCTGTTGTACTGTCTGTGTGTCACCGAAGGTGGGGCAGATAGATGAGTAGGAACTAGCTAATGGGTGTGGGACAGGCGAAATGGTTCAGTGAGTAAGGGTGCCACCTGCTGCCAAGTCTAATGACCTGAGTTTGATCCCCCAGACCTACATAGTGGAAGGAGAGAACCAACTTCAACATGTGCAGCACATATATGTGCACGAGCACACACACACACACACACACACACACACACACACACACACATTCACGTGTGTAAAAGAAAAGGGTGAGAAGGAGCAAATGTGTTCCTTTGAGGGAACATCTAGATGAGGCCAAGTTTCACCTTTGTATTATCTAAAATGTACCTTGTTTCATTTGCTCCAGGCCAGAAAAGGCCATAAGGAGCCTTTTTGTGAGCACAGGCTTCATGGGCCGGGCCATGATGATGAAGCCACCATCCCCGGGGACAGGCAAAAGGCAGGAACCAACCCCTCCAGTCCTAGCCCATCGGGGCGGCACTGGCTTGCTCTGAGGTACAGAGCTAACAATGTGTGGGCCAACACTCCGGCATAAGAAACAAGGTGGGCACCTGCCCATCTGCTGCTAGTGCTGAAGCCTGGGCAGTCTCAGCAAACCGGGATAAGTCGGTCATACTAGCATGGAGCTTCAGTTGAGGCCTACTGCCCTCACGTCCTAGGACCCTTTGGGTATGGGTTGGCGTCCAGCTGCCTCCTATGGGAGATCCAGACCCCGCCCCTGCTAAAGCCTTAGTTGTCTTGCACGTCAAATGGGGTTCCTAATAACTGCCTCTACTGACCCTTGATATTTGAATGAGAAGCGAAGTATGCCTGGCGACATGCCTGTCACACAGCAGTCACTTAAATGTGAGCGACTTTGTTCATTAGTCATCCGCTCCGTTCATTCAGCAGGCTTGAGTGTGTGTGTGTGTGTTTGCGCCAGGTGCGGCTCGGGAACAGAGGCAGACACCCTGCTCTTAGGCCGATGGCAGAGTCAAGCAACAGGTGAATAAGGCCTCGGTGTTGTGGGCAAGAAGGAGAGCGACCTGGGGAATGGGGTCGGCCACAGCCTTAGCCTCACTGAGATGGGGACAGAGACCTGAAGGAGGAGGAGGGGCAGCCCAGGAAGAGGCTCTCTTGGGGAAAGAGGGGGCAACAGCGTGTGCAGAGGCTGAGTAGGGATTAGGGGGTATATGTTCAGAGAGAAAAGGAAGGTGTGCCGAGCCAGAGCTCTGAAGACTGAAGGGAAATAGGAAGAGATAAATGCTGGAGGCCCCTAAGTGGCCCTAGAGGCCATCAGAGGCCTTGGTGCCTGGTTTCACTCCGTGGAAAAGCCACATAGGGTTGTGGGAAGATGAGTGGCATGTACTGCCTTACAGGTTTCAAAAGATCTTTGTGGAGCAGACTGAACCGGAGAGCAAGGTGGAGGGGAGGGGGGAGAGATGATCATTAGGTATTAATATGAGAGCCTGCTGGCAGGTAAGTAGTCACCCTGCCCTGCACACTGAGGTAAGTGGCTCAGGCAGACTCACTTTGGGGAGAGTGTTAGGCTATTGGGGTGTCCCTTAAAATGATCTTTGGTAGCTCTTTAGGTTTTTTGTTTTGTTCTGTTTTGTTTTATCCCCAAGACAGGGTTTCTCTGTGTAGTTTTGTGCCTGTCCTGGATCTTGCTCTGGAGACCAGGCTGGCCTCAAACTCACAGAGATCCTCCTGCCTCTGCCTCCCAAATGCTGGAATTAAAGGTGTGCACCACCACCACCACCACCACCACCACCACCACCACGAGGCACTCTTTAGGTTTTTAAAGATGAGGTTCTCTAGCACAGACTGACCTGGAACTCATTATGTGGTCCAGGCTGACCTTGAACTTGCGGCCATCCTCCTGCTTTAACCTCTTGAGTGCTGGGAATACAGGCCTGAATCACCACACCCAGCCCTGATCTTTAACACCTCGGTCACCCTCACAGTGCCCTGGTGACCTTTACCAAAGAAAGGAAGGATATTTGTTCCCAGTGAGTTGTGAATCCCACATCTTCACAAACACCCTGATTAGATTAACAAAATGTCCAAACTCCTGTAATCCCTAGCTGGCACAGCCCTGCCCTTTCTGGTCCCCTAGGGCAAAGGACCAGGAAGCCCTGCCTCCTGGCCACCCTGCCCCTGTCTGCCTGGGGATCCAGATGCCCTGCCCAGAACACTCTTTTCCCAGGCCCTTCCCTGCCTTTTTGACTGGGAACCTGACTTCCCAGAGCAGGGCGGGCAGGCGGGCGGAGGAGGCCAGACTGACGTCTGGGAAGAAGCTCAACTTGGCTTCCAGGGCTTTGAACCCAGCCTTGCTCCCCTGTGGAGCCCAACTGGCTGCTCAGCTGGAGTGAGGGATTAAATGCCATCGACTGATGGGGCCTGGATTACAGTCTCAGGCACCCGTGTCCCCAAGGAGTTCCCTGCCCCTTGCCTCCTAACAAATGAAAGTGGCTTGCCCTCCATGCCCTCCAGTCTCTCACTGCGCAGAATGATACCAGATCATGCCATCCTGCCAGACTCGCCTGTTGCCGACTCCCCTCCCTCAGAGCCAGAGGGCTCTGCTGCCGATTTTGTGAGCATGGGAAATGGCAGCCACCTCCCACCCCACAGGCAGTGTTCCGGGTGTGCTTGTTGGCCCATTTTCAAGATCTTTTTCTGCCTCGAGGTCTTCCTAAGGTCTAGCCCCCCTTCCTTCCTCCGGTCACGGTGCTCTGTGTGCCCTCACACGGTGCCTATTCCTTTCCTCACCATTGGAAGGCCTCCATGATGACCGAGTGTGGAGTCCTGACATCCTGGACTCCGTTGCGACCTTGTTCCTTCCAGGCGCACACATTTCCTTGCTTTGTGTGAAGCTCAGTGGAGGATCCCCTGGCCCTGATTCTGAGCTTCCTCAGCTGCCGACCTGTTTTCAAGACAAAGATTGCCCCACCCTACCTGTGGGGGAACCCATCAGACAGGCAGCCAACAGCATCCAGTGCCAAAACCAAAGCCAAAAAAAAAAAAAAAAAAAAGTAATTTGCTGCAATATGTAAACAACTTAATGAATGCCAACTGGTGTTTACTGCTGGATAAGATTTCCCTCCACCTGTGACCCTCTAGGGTCCAGAAAAGGGGCCAAAATTCTTGGGAAGCTACGGAGTATAATTCTGCCTTCCCACCCCCCACCCTGGGAGTGGGAAGTTGAGGGGGGCGTTACATGTTCTGTTTTAGTGGGGGAAATGCTGGTTGTCAAGAACTGTGTAGTATCTGGAAACTTCATGGCCTTGCTTGGGTCTTATTCAGCCTGAGCTGTAATACTTTGTCTAGTTGACCCCAAGCACTTAGCAGGAAGTAAAACAGCCATGCTTGTGTTGAAGGTTCTGACAGACAGAGAAGCAGGGGTGACGCACCTAAGGGTACTTTGCCTCGAGAGTTCTGCTTCGGCGACCTACAGCTCCTACAACTTGGAATGAAGACAGACACATGGGTAGCCTCTGCCTCCGCCTTACATGACCTGGAACAGATGGCTGGTTCTTTCTGGCCCTCATGTGTGAACCAGCATGGTCAGGTCCTTGCCAGGATTTGCATGTTCCTGTGAGAGAAGAGTTCTGTGCATCCCGAGAACATTCTAGTGCTTCTGTTCTTAGAGCTAGAGCCTGGGGCACAGCCCCTGAGGAGCAGAAAGCTACTTAGCCTGGTCACCAGAAGCAAAAGGCCCCCATCCTGTGGCCATCTTGTCACCCTTTCCTCATTTTGAAACTTCTGACGGTTCCATAGTCCTGGTGTCCTGACAAACTGGGATGGTTGGCCACATTCCCACCACACCGCCATTCTGGGTCTCCTAACTGGACAAGAGGTCTTTTCATTTTGATTTGGTTTTTAGTTCATGTCTTTTATTAACCCATACACCGTCTTCTGGTCTGTAAATCAAACCATACGTGGCACACTGACGTCTGTCAGAGCAGCTGACATTAAAATACCCCTGTGAAGGGCCCTCTTGATGACGGTGACTCATTTTGCCGTTTTCATTCACCTCATAGTGTTTCAAGTCAGGCAGTTTAACCTTTCTTCTCTTCTGCTTCTTGAGAGTAGTTTTAGACCCACCCCACCCCCAACTTTCTTAGCACCACAAAGTCTCAACACCAGGTCAAGTGCCAACTCCTTTCCAGTGTTATACTCAAAGTGTAAACATCTTCCAGTTGTTTTTTTGTTTTTTTGTTTTGTTTTTTGTTTGTTTGTTTGTTTGTTTGTTTGTTTTAGCAAAGGTCAAACTTTGTTGATCAGGAATTCCTTCCTTGTGCTAGATTCTGGCTTTTGTATTTTCTGTGGTATCCAAGGCTTCAACCAGGACAGTCTTGCTGGTCATTCATTAGAAACACCTGTGTCGTGGCGGCAGCGCCCCCATTAAGAGCTCACAAGCACCTGTAACTCCAGCCTCGGGAGCTCTGATGCCCCCTCCTGGCTTCTACAGGCACACAGACAGATATGGCATACACTCTCACAGAGAGACACGTATACACATAGGTAGGAAGTTAGACAGACAGACCGACAGACAGACAGACAGATAGATAGACAGACCTTTAACTTGACTTCTGATATCACCCCCTACCCCCTTTACTCTCTCTCGCCTCCTCAGGTTTATCTGGGAACCCTACAGATCTGGAGAAGCGTAGACTTGTTTTTGGACAGAATGTGATACCTCCGAAAAAGCCCAAGACTTTCTTAGAATTAGTGTGGGAAGCCCTGCAGGATGTCACGCTCATCATCCTGGAGATTGCAGCCATCATCTCCCTGGTCCTGTCCTTCTATCGACCCCCTGGCGGAGACAATGAAGGTGAGTGTCTAAGCTGCGCCATGTGGCTGACCTGGGTCCATTCCACACCGCCAGCCACACTTCGGACCGGTGGCTGACAGGTTGTAGTACACCGTGTTCCTGTTACCCAGCAGGCTCTGCAAAAGAGAGCAGCCAGCAGCTAGTAAGCCATCCCCTAACCGCCCCCCTCCCCTACCACATCCTAACTCAGAATGCCACCCGTCCTGTGTCCTTACCTCCGCTGCTCAGCGCGTCCTGACCATAGTGCTTGGCATTATGGGAAAGAGCAGTGAGCCCCGACTGCGCTTCACGTCACTGGCGTCGGCGTATTTTGTGCCATTTAGGAATTAGCACAAATAGACCTGGTGGTGATGCGATGACAGTCCATCCTGCTCTCTCCTGATTTCCTTGGAGAGCAGTTTTTTTTATGTTCCATTGCTCTCTTTCCATGACCTTCCATCTTGTGGAGGTTGTGGAAGTACCACCCTCGTTTCAACGACTCTTTCTCCCCTCCCTGGCTAGTCTGTGGTCAGACTACAAGTGGCCCAGAGGAAGATGAGGAAGCAGAAACCGGCTGGATTGAGGGGGCAGCCATCCTTACCTCGGTGATCATTGTGGTGTTGGTGACAGCCTTCAATGACTGGAGCAAAGAGAAGCAGTTCCGGGGGCTGCAGAGTCGCATTGAACTCGAGCAAAAATTCTGCATTATCCGGAATGGTCAGCTCATCCAGCTCCCAGTGGCTGAGATTGTGGTGGGAGATATTGCCCAGATCAAATACGGTGAGAGCACTATGTTTCCCTGGCCTATGCCCCACACATACATCTGAGGAGTAGGTCCATTGACATGAAAGGCTAGGAGTTTCTGGATCCCCGCCCCCAAATAATCCCCCAGCTTGTGCTAAGTTATCAGGTAGAATTTGGCAGGTTGCAGGAAGGACTTCTGGAGAAAGCCATAGCCAAAACTCTTGCAAGGGATTGTCATACTTGTGCCCTGTATGGCGTCGGAGTAAAGGCATATGATATTTAGGCCACAGGAAGGTATCGGTTTGAGATATGTGTGACCCTAGGGATCAAGCGCAGGGCCATTTGCAGTATAGGTAAGCCCTGTACCTCTGAGCCCCCCCACATCTCTAGAGTCACCTTTAGATGCTCTTCGGCTTCTCGTGGGACCATAAGCCCTCTAGGTTTTGCCGGGAGAGCAGCCCTGAGGTGGAGTGGAGGAGGTGGCTCTTACCCGCTTGGCCTTACTGTCTACCTCTCCCTCATACACCAGGTGACCTCCTCCCTGCAGACGGAATCCTAATCCAGGGGAATGACCTGAAGATCGATGAGAGCTCTCTGACGGGAGAGTCAGATCATGTCAAGAAGTCTCTGGACAAAGATCCCATGTTGCTCTCAGGTATAGCCTCTGGCTGCCCAGGTCATCATCCACGGCCCCCAGAGAGTCAGGCTACGGGTTCTGGGCCCTATTCCCTCTGTTAGCTCCATCCTTCCTTCTTCTCTTGGGTTCAGATGGAGTAGAAACATGTGGGTGGTCCTGATGCAGGGATGTCAGGGATCTGAAAGAAGTTTTTCATAAAGTAAGTGTTATAGGAGCTCTGCTATTTGGGAAGATGGCATAAAGTTAATACATTAACCTTAACCTGTGTTTCCTTGGTCACTTTAAATGGGCTCATCTCTTGGCTTTCTCTTACCGCCTTCTAAATAGATTAGTGTCCCTAAAGGAAAGGGAGCTGGGCGTTTAAGTTTGTATTTCATACCAAATCACAGCTAAGAACATCAAACGGTACTCATGTCCATCTTCTCCCTTCCCTTTTACAGGGACTCACGTGATGGAAGGTTCTGGCCGGATGGTAGTGACTGCTGTGGGGATCAACTCTCAGACCGGAATCATCTTCACCCTCTTAGGGGCCAGTGAGGAAGATGAGGAGGAAAAGAAGAAGAAAAGTAAGGGGCATGCCAAATGAGAATGAAAGTCTCTTTCCTCTCTGTGAGTGAACTAGCGGTCAGAGAGCAGATGCAGACGAAAACCTATTAGAAAAGTCTGCTGGGATGAAGTGACAGATATCCAGACTCCTTGCCAAGATGCACACGTCACTTGTGGGTCTGGAGAGGTGGCTCAGTGGTTTAAGAGCACTTGCTATTCTTGCAAAGGACCTGGGTTTGGTTTTCAGTGCCCATGTGGCTGCTGATAACCATCTATAACTCCAGTTCCGGGGGATCCTAGCCCTCTTCTGGCCTGTGTGGACATCAGGCACACACATGGTATACAGGCATATGTGCAGACAGACAGACAGACAGACAGGCACGCACGCACGCACGCACGCACGCACGCATGCACGCACACATCAACCTTACGTCTCTGAGGAGTTCTGATGAAAACACTGAATCCTGGCTCAAAGCCCTCATGTCAGATTTCGTTTGAACCTTAATTCCTGCATCTTGGGTTGGTTGCGAAGGGTTGAGTTAGCCCTACCCTGGATGAGCTGGAAGGTGCTCCAGCCAAAGTGCCCCGGGTCCTCCTCCTCTTCCCTTACTCTCTTCCTCCTGGATTAAGGAGTAAGTGAACCATCACAGCTAAGAGGAAGGTGACTTGAGGAGAACATGGGTCCCGCTGAAACTGTGGGCCTCTGCAGAAGAGAAGAACAGTTGGAAGAGTGGGACCGGCGAGGCCTTTAGACTAGTCTTGATCACTCACTTGTTCCCAGAGCAGGACCAACAGGAGCAAAAGACCCAGATGTTAATGCCAAACTCACACCTTTTCCTGATCCTTCCTTCTTCCTGTGGGGAGAGAACAGTTCCTACCACTTGGCCAAGGCTCATCTTAGGTTCTTAGTAGAAAGCAGTTTATGAGTAAGAGACAGTCTCTCGGAACCCAACTATTCATTCCCACAGCTACCCTCAGATGCACACTTAGGAGAACAACACTGGTGCCGTTGACCTGTCCCGGAGATGCCTTTCAGGGCCCTTCCGGGGGCTGAGCATTTCCTGCCTCTCTCTCCCTAACTCCCACCCCCATTTTCTCAAGAGATTTGACTCAAGCCAAGGGCATCCTCCCTCCTAGCAGGAAGAGAAGCTCAGGCGTGATCGTGTGTGCACATATCTGAGCACTCAGCGCTGATCCCAAGGATTCATGAGAACCGATAGGAAGGATGAATGAACAGAGATGTGAGCTTCCTCTACATGTATCTCCCCGCCCTACAGCCCACCTCTTCCTTCACTGTAGCCCTTCAATGCTGGGAGAGGACCAACAAATTAGATATCTGATCATCTCTTTTTTTTTGTTTGTTTGTTTTGGTTTGGTTTTTTTGGTTTTTTGAGACAGGGTTTCTCTGTGTAGCTTTGCACCTTTCCTAGAACTCACTTTGGAGACCAGGCTGGCCTCGAACTCACAGAGATCTGCCTGTCTCTACCTCCCGAGTGCTGGGCTTAAAGGCGTGCGCCACCGCTGCCCGGCCTGATCATCTCTTACTAGTCACTTTGGGTCTCCACCCCACTTTTTTCTTTCTTGTCCAAACAGGTAAAAAACAAGGAGTCTCTGAAAATCGCAACAAAGGTAACCTCTCCACCCACTCATGTGCCATCTCTACCTGCCCACGCTCAAACCAGACCTTTCCAGGCCATCTGTCTCCCTGCCCTCTCCATAATCTGTTACCTGCTGCTGTGGCCCAGTGCCTCATCCTGAGGACGGTGCAGAGACCCCGGGGGGTGGGCTCAAGGCGGAACAGCAGCACCCTCTGCTGTTGGCTTGAGGAAGCACATGCCCAGAATTCTTAGGGTGTGGGACCGGGATCGGCTCTTCCCAGAGTGCTGAGCTCTGCTTCGCCGCCCACACCAGCAGTCTCTGGGTTGGAAGTCATGGTGGAGGACATGGGCTGGGCATTCCCTGCACCCTCCTCTGCTGACAGCCTCACCGGTGTCTTCTGGTCCTGTAGTTCTTCTCTGCTCGTCTGCTCAGAGGCTTTGGAGAGAGACTCTTCTCTCTGCCTCTCTGCCCACTTCTTTCTTTGTTCTCGCCACGGTCTGTTTTCGTTCCTCCTGGTATGGTTTGTGTTTCTCTTGGTGGCTGTGTCTACATATCCCATCTCTGTCTTGTTTGTGCCTCAGACAGAAGAGACTGTGTCTCAAGAAGTACTTCCTAAGCAAACAGGGATGTTGGAGGGATGTCGGGGACCAGCAAGAACTAGTCTTGAGACAGTTCCTAAAGCTGTTTTTTTTTTTTTCCCTTGTTACACACATCGTAGTACTCTTTAGAAATAAAATCACCGTATCAGAGCACCAGGGCTTAAGCAGAAAAACATTTGAATCTCGCGTTTCTTTATTCTTCTTCTAAAAGGGAACCACATGGGTTTACTGGGTTTGCACATCTCTGCTTTCCCCTTACTCTGAGTCTTCGTGGCAGTGTCTTTTCTTTCCCCCAGAATACTGAACTCAGGTCCTGCTGTGCTACTTCAAATCTGTGTCCTTCAACTTATATAAGAAGTAGTTGAAGAATAACTTTGGTCTGGGGAGGGGGGTGGTGGAATCTGTGTTTCTTTCCTGATTGGGGGGTAGGGGGGCTTTTAACAGAATAGGCTAGGGCCCTAACATCTGCTAAACTCTCCCCTTGGTCTCCGGTAAATATTCACTGTTTTAAGCTCTGGATTCCAGAAAGTCTGCTTGCAGCGAAGGCCTTAGTGGTGTAATTAATCCCCTTGTTGCTATAAACCTGGCATGTGGCTCTGAGGGGCGCCAGGAGGTTGTCATGAAGAGGAGATCCAGACCCGAAAGGCATCCTCCACTTCATCACCAGTTGTTAGATTTGTCCCAAAGGCCCTAGTGGAGTCCTACCTCTGGCACCAGTGAGGAATGATCAGAACTGAGGTCAGGGGCCTGAGGGACATCCCAGGAAAAAGACAGAGGGGCGTCTTGCCTTCCACCTGCCTGCCATTCACTCCTACATCCTTGCCTACTCACCTGCCCCATTTGTGTGTCTACCCTAGCAAAGACCCAAGATGGAGTGGCCTTGGAAATCCAGCCTCTCAACAGCCAGGAGGGTATCGACAGTGAGGAGAAGGAGAAGAAAGTAAGCAAGATGCCCAAGAAGGAGAAGTCTGTGCTGCAGGGCAAGCTCACGCGCCTGGCTGTGCAGATCGGGAAGGCGGGTGAGTAGCTAAGCCCGCCTCCCATTGCCAATTCGAACCACTGCCCTGTGTGCTGGCTACTACAGCTTCCTTCCCACCACACCAAGCCGGACTGGCAGGAAGAAGCTGGCACTTGAGGTAGCTCCTGGGGTCTACATAGCTGTATCTTTGGCCACTCCTGGGCTTTGGAAGAGAGCTATTTCCTATGTATAAAGGTTAATAGCCCCAAGGTCTCTTTCATCCAAACAGCGGAGTGGGGGAGGGGGTCATGCTAGCAAGAAGGAAGTTAAGAACTCTCACCTGTCCCATAATCCCTCAAGGGCAGAGGGGGCTGCAGTTTGCTGGAGGCGATCTCTCCATAGTGGAGGAATCTCGTGGCCCAGCATGGAGCAATAAATACATAGTAAAGACTGGAGGGCAAAGAAGATCGGTTAGAGAGACTATTCAGAAGACGGGTCCTACAGCGAGGGTGACAAATGATTTCTCCTGCCACTTTCCTGCCATCTTCTGGCCTAGGGGAGCAGCAGGAAGGGGGACAAAAGGATGACTCCTTCATGCAATGTCCCTCAAGGTGTGGTCCTCCAATGAGTGTTCTGTGACCTCAGGCTTCCGCTTCCCACCGTCATGTTCAGCAGGCTTCTCTGGACACAGTTCTCCAGATGTCCTTGCTAAAGTACGGACCACCTTCAGAAAGTCTGTGGCAGGGCCTGAGAGTCCACAGGGATCTGTGATGGCTACAGCAGCAACCACTGTTTACAGTCTGCTGCCGGGTAGCCGCATTTTAAATATTCACGAGCCACACGTGTCCAGTAACCATCTTTCTGGAGAGTCCCAAGTGAGAGCATTTCAAGCGCCGCAGAAAGCTCTGGTGGGAGTGTGTTGACCTAGCCAGTTCATTTCAGTCTGACACTTAGCTCAATCTGACTACCTTGAAATCTTCTATGTAGACTCTAAGAGCTGAGCTGTGGGTGCAAAAGTCCCTTGCGAAGCCCAGGATCCAAGTCAGAGGCATTAACTAGATCCCCTACCCCAAGTGTTCTCCTCATCCCTGCTTCCCTCTTCCTTGGAGGTGAAAACTACCTAGAGATCGGCCACAAGTACGTGTCAAGCTAGGTCAGGCCTTGTGTGAAATGAGCAAGATACCTTCCAACCCATAGAGAAAGAGAGCGCAGGCGCGTGCACGCATTCCTAAATTTTCGTACCACAGGTGCTTTGCTTCCTTACTTTGGTCCTTGCCTTAATCAAGCCAGAACCAGTCTCCTTTCACTGATATCATCCCCCATGGCCTTGCCGTGAGGCCCCTGAAGCACCAGGGCCAGACTGTGTCTTCAATAAGAGTGTTTCCCAAGTACTGTGCCACTGATGAGCACATATTGGTCCTTAACCGTTAGGCTAGCCACTGACTCCCACCCCCCATTTGCAAGGTGACCAGCTATCCCAGTTGGTTGAAACTGTCTCAGTTTTCTCCCTGAAAGTCCCAGAAATTGTTGAGTCTCGGGCAAACCAGGCTGGCCACCCTACCAGTGTGCACCATCAGAGGCTTCCCTGACCCTGGGATGTCTCGTCTTTGAAACAGGAGTGATCTGTACCTTAGGGCTGCTGTGACGTGGTTAGGAAGGCTTGGCTGGCCTGGGGCAGGCACTCTGTGAGTCACTGCTGTGGTTGTCATCCATCTTCATGATGTGCTGTGACAGGAGAACTCATGTAGGTGATGCGCTAGCACTGTGAGGACATCCTGTAACCAGGGTGTGGGACCTTCACAGGGCAGCGGAGGGAAAGTCAGAGGTGGTGAGCGGCTACGTGGACAGATACAGCTGCTCCTCAGTCAACTCCTGTTAACATGGCAGTAGTACTGAGGAAGCGGTGGTGACCAGTCCACACATGCAGCTGATCCACAATCCCCTTTAGAAGTTGCAGTTTGTTAGGAAGAGGGGGCTCAAGGCCACGATCCAGCGAGAGAAAGAGCATTAGACAGAATCTCTGAACACATCTCAAAAACAAAGGAAAAATCCACCTTCCAAGTTTAGGGGTCATGGCGAAGTTTCACACCACGCAGCTTAGTTCAATGCAGCATGCATGATGAGGAGCCAGGTGCCATCACTGAGAGCCCTCAAGTCACAGCACAGTCTGCTTCTTGATTCTCCTCCTGGTGGGGGTGGGGTGGGGGCTGGTCCTCTGTGAGGAGGTGTGACCTGATCCCTATGGGCTGTGGGATCTGGCCATTTAAAAGTACGCGGTCTTTTAGGAGGAAGCCCATGTTCTAGCATACTCCCCTTTGTTGTTGTTGTTGTTGTTGTTGTTGTTGTTGTTGTTGTTGTTGTTTTGGTTGGTTGGTTGGTTGGTTGGTTGGTTTGGGGAGTGTATATAGAACAGGCTGGCCTGACCTCATGATCTTTCTGCCTCAGTTTCTCAAGTACTGAGATTACAGGTGTATGCCACGGTACTCAGCAACCCTCTTATTTATGAATGAGAATTTAAACTGGAAACTCAACCCAAAGAGGCTTAACAACTAATCCAGGTGTATGAGTCAGGTTGGTAAAGCCAGCCTAGTCTACAAAGCGAGTTCCAGGAAAGGCGCAAAGCTACACAGAGAAGCCCTGTCTCAAGGAAAAAAAAAAAAAAATTCCCAGCCACCACTTGTGGCAACCATTACAACCATCTGTAATGAGATCTGGTGCCCTCTTCTGGCCTGCAGGGACACATGCAAGCAGAACACTGTATACGTAATAAGTAAATCTTAAACACACACAAACACACACATGGGCTGGGGATTATAGCTCAGTGGTAGAGTGCTTGCCTGGGTTTGGTCCTCAGCTCCAGGGGGAAACACACACACACACACACACACACACACACACACACACACACACACACACAAGCCCACAAACTCTGTCATTGTATACAAGCAACAGAGAATGGGAGAAAATTTTAATATATAACTTTCTAAAGCTTAAGGTTCTAAAAACTACAGAAAGCGCCAGCTCTAACACCCGAGACAGCAGGTCCTGCACCTCTCCTGGCCAGCACAGTAGAGACAACCCTGTGGATGGAGGTTGTGAGCGTGGGGGAGCTGTTCCCACTACTTGTCTGTCGTGTAGCGGTGTGGGTGAGGAAGAGATGCCCCCCCTTACCCATTGCCCCTTACTGCCTGCGACAGACGGCCAAGCTGACCCTCCCCCACCAGCGCAGCACTCGGGAAAGCAGACCCTGCACCTCACCTGGGCAGCACAGTAAAACTGACCCTGTTATTAAAAGTGTAGGCGAGCCAGCCTCGAAGGTGTGAGCATGGGAGAGTTGTCCCCATTACTCATCTGTTATGTGGCAGCATGGGCTGGGGAGAGTTGCCTCTCCCACCCCCCCACCCCCACCCCCACCCCCACCCCCCGCTTGCCCATCAATGCCTAAGACAGGTGGGAGAGCGGGCCCTGAGGTCATAAGAGCAGGAGAACTGTCCCTGCCCCTCACCAGCTGCAGCACTCGGGAGAGTGTCCCCTACACCTTGACCAGACATCACAGTAGAGCTGGCCCCAAAGGTGTAGGTGAGGGAGAATCAAAGGTGTAGGTGAGGGAGAATCAAAGGTGTAGGTGTGGGAGTGTGATGATATATTGTGTACCCTAATAAAATTTGCCTGAAGATCAGAGAGACAAAGGAACAAGCCACTGCCGCATCTCACCTCACCAACTCCACGAATCCTCTGACTTAATGCCTCTGAGTCCTCAGCCGAAAGGGGTCCAGCTGTGGTAGCGCACGCCTTTAATCCTGGCACTTGGGAGGCAGAACCAGGCGGATCTCTGTGAGTTCGAGGCCAGCCTGGGCTACCAAGTGAGTTCCAGGAAAAGGCGCAAAGCTACACAGAGAAACCCTGTCTTGAAAAACCAAAAAAAAAAAAAAAGAAAGAAAGCCTTTAGTTCCTGTCTCCTCATGCCTTGTATACCTTTCTCTCCACCCAGTCATCATCACTTCCTTCCTAGACCTGGGATTAATGGCATGTGTGTTTCCCAAATACTGGGATTAAAGGCGTGTGACTCCCAAGTACTGGGATTAAAGGTGTGTGCCACCACTGCCTGGCTCTGTTACTCTCCTAGGCTGAGTCAATCTCATTTAGTCCAAGGTGGCTTTGAACCCACAGAGATCCAGACAGATTTCTGCCTCCTGAGTGCTAGGATTAAAGGTGTATGCCATCACTGCCTGGCATCTATGTTTAATCTAGTGGCTTGTTCTGTCCTCTAATCTTCAGGCAAATTTTGTTAGGGTACACACTGTATCATCGCATGGAAGACCCGACCCTGCAGATATGAAAGTGGGAGAACTGGCCCCGCCCCTTGCTCATGCTGCAAGGGGTGCACTAGCCAGGGCCATGCTGGAGAGCTCCCCCTGGTGAAAACAGGAGAGGGCTGGTGGGCTGACCAACCCCGCAACTACCCAGGCCCCAAACCAGAGTTATGTGTTGGCCCACCCCCACGCCCACCCCATCTGTGACCTGCCGGAGCACAGGTGGTGATGGTGGCGAGGGGGTCGGTCCTGTGGTCCCAGGGCTGCAGGATCTCCACAGCACAAGCCAGCAGCAAGATGTCCAGGGAGAGTCCCAATGAGGGCCCAGCATCGATGGTATAGCAGAGACCAGAGGCCTCGAACCAGACCAGTGATTCTATGTGATGAACGCCTGCGTGTAAAGATGGATGGACAAAGGGGTTTACTGCGTGACTCACTGTGTCACACTGCAGCTCCCATGACGAGATTTTCCCTTTCTGCCTTTTTTTCCCCTTTTTTCTCTTAAATTTTATTGGTGGGGGGGGGGAGATGGGTGGAATTGGGAAGCATAATGTGAAAGAAACAAAGAATAATTTTTTTTTTGTTTTTTGTTTTTTGTTTTTCAAGACAGGGTTTCTCTGTGTAGCTTTGCGCCTTTCCTGGGACTCACTTGGTAGCCCAGGCTGGCCTCGAACTCACAGAGATCCGCCTGCCTTTGCCTCCCGAGTGCTGGGATTAAAGGCGTGCGCCACCACCGCCCGGCCGAATAAATTTTTAAAAAGCTAAAAAAACAAACTATAGCGAGGGTCTAGCAGGCTAACCCCTGTCCCTGTGCCTTGTTGCCCTGGACAGGTCTGATCATGTCTGCTCTCACAGTGGTCATCTTGATTCTATACTTTGTGGTTGAAAATTTCGTGATACAGCGCAGATCGTGGCTCCCTGAGTGTACCCCGGTCTACATCCAGTATTTCGTCAAGTTCTTCATCATTGGCGTCACGGTATTGGTAGTGGCTGTGCCAGAGGGGCTGCCACTGGCTGTCACCATCTCACTGGCCTACTCTGTCAAGGTAAGACTGGGAAAATACCCTGTGTTACTTAAGGACAGAGACGGGAAAGGAGGGTCCCTCGGTACACTGTAGGTGGTCCCCCAAGAACAGAAGTCCCTAGCCCTAGGAAATGACTATTCAGTTAGCTGTTTAACTAGATCAGTAGACTCTTAAATTAGCCTCGCAAAAAACGGTACCCTGCATTTTTTGTGTAGGACTAGAAAACAAAGAGAGACATGTTGGCTGGGACTTAGCCGGTGACCTTTGTTTGGGGGAGCTCTGTTGGTCCTCTTTCAACTCCTTTCTCTTTTCCTGTGTAGAAAATGATGAAGGACAACAACTTGGTACGGCACTTGGATGCTTGTGAGACCATGGGCAACGCCACAGCCATTTGCTCTGATAAGACAGGGACACTGACCATGAACCGCATGACAGTGGTGCAAGCTTTCGTTGGGGGCACTCATTACCGCCAGGTCCCCAGCCCTGACGTCTTCCCGCCCAAGGTCCTGGAGCTCATAGTCAATGGCATTTCCATCAACAGTGCTTATACTTCTAAGATTCTGGTAAGCTTTCCCGTTGTCTGGGCACCTGGAGTAGGTGACTGGAGAGCGATATTCATTTTGTCAGAGATAACTCTTCTGTCCTAATTACTCCTCTGTGGCTGTGCTAGCACCGTGACCAAGGCAACTGATAGAAGAGTTTATTGGCGGCTTACAGTTTCAAAGGGTTAGAGCCCTTGACCGTCACAGCAGGGAGCATGAGAGCAGGCAGGCAGGCAGGCAGGCAGGCATGGCGCTGGAACAGTAGCCGAGGGCTCACATCTCAGTCCACAAGCAGGAGGCAGACAGCACACTGGGGATGACATCAGTTTCAAACCCCCTTGTGACACACCTCGTAATCCTCCCTAAACAGTTCTGCCAACAGGTGACCAAGTATTCAAATCTATGAGCGCATGGGGGCCGTTCTCACGCAAACCACCACATCCTCTATTATTATTCTGTGTGAATCTCCATTCAGCATTCTGTGTCTTACTCTTGACTGAATGTGTTCAGGGTGGACAAGAAGGAACCTCAGGCCTACAGCAGACTTACACTTATCCAGAATCAATTACTCACTTTCCAGAAGCAGAGAGAGAGCATTTGAATGAGACTTCCAGAGGACGAGACACCTCATTACCATAGAGCAACTGTAAGATCCCAAGACCTGTATGCCTATGAGTCAAGGTCACCTCTGAAAGAACAAAAGCAAATGTTGCCTCCCCTGTGGGCACTGGTATGCCTGCCAAATCCGCCTGCCCAAGTTCTCTCTCTGGCCCAGATATCTCGCTCATGATTCCCATGTCTATTTTTGTTTCTGTTTGTCTTTTCTCTCTCAGCCTCCAGAAAAGGAGGGAGGCCTACCTCGGCAGGTAGGCAACAAGACAGAGTGTGCCCTGCTGGGCTTTGTCACAGATCTGAAGCAGGATTACCAAGCAGTTCGCAATGAAGTGCCCGAGGAGAAGCTCTTCAAAGTGTACACCTTCAACTCAGTGCGCAAGTCCATGAGCACCGTCATCCGGAAGCCTGGAGGGGGCTTCCGCATGTTCAGCAAGGGCGCCTCTGAGATAATGCTGCGCAGGTGAGCCCCTTCCCTCCCATTTTCCCCTTTGAGACGCCCCCTCAGGAAGGTCTGAGGGCCCATGCCGAACCAGTCTGAAGGATGAGTGACCCTCCAGCCAGGGAGTGACATTTGAACTCAGGACAGGCATTGCTTCTAAGAACCTGGCTGACTCCTTTATTTAATCTTTTAAAATAGCGAAGTGGGTACTATTTTGACCCGTTTTGCAGATGAGAAAATATGGGCAGTGAAGCTGCATAGCTTGCTTATAGAAAGAGCAGCTAACAGTGCCACAGCCAGGATTCAGCCTGGAGCAGCCTAAACTTCCATCTCCTGTGGAGTCCACGGAGGTAGTCAGAATGCTCCTCATTTCACTGGGCTTGAAGGAGTCGGTGAGCATAAGATGTCTTGCACACACCAAGAGCTAACGATGCTGCCTCTCTGTTCCTTCTCTTTCTCATTCTCAGTTCTGATTACACTTTATATACCTTTAAAAGTAGCTAAGCTACCTAAAGTTGTTATAATCAACCCACCCCAATCAATGTAGCCAGCAGGGGTGGCACACACCTATGATCCAAGCGCTAGGGAGGCTGAGGCAGGAGGGTTGCAAGTTCAAAGTCATTCTAGGGCACTCTGTCTCAAAAAAAAAAACAAAAACACAATAGCAAAAACCAAAAGAAGGCTGGGCATAGTTTTGCCTGCCGCAGGAGGCAGAGGCAGGAGGATCTCTGTGAGTTTGAGACCAGCCTGGTCTGCATAGCAAATTCCAGTAAAGCCAGGATGAAAGACCCTGTCCAGAAGTTCAAGGTCAACCTATATAGCAAGTTTGAGGCTAGCCTGAGCTACATGAGACTCTTATCTCATTTGGGGGTGGGGGGAAGTGGGGAGAGGAAGAGAGAGAGAGAGACTCAGCTGGGTGACAGATAAAAGATGTATTAACCATGGAATAGTGTCTCTAGGAATAATGCAGAATCACCCTAATGCCTGTGATTGTTGGAACGTGTCAAGCGGGATGACGGACACTGATTTCTGATTTCCCCAGGTGTAATCAAATCCTGGACAAGGGAGGAGAATGCGTGCAGTTCAAAAATAAGGACCGAGACGACATGGTACGCAATGTCATTGAGCCCATGGCCAGCGAAGGACTGCGGACCATCTGCATAGCTTACCGGGACTTTGACGGACCAGAGCCCATATGGGACAACGAGAATGAAGTCCTTGCTGAGCTGACCTGCATTGCAGTGGTGGGCATTGAAGACCCCGTGCGCCCGGAGGTGAGGCTCGTCAGCTTCTGAACTGAAGAGAGAGGGCAAGAAAGTGGAGGTGCCGGTCTCCCACTGACCCCTGGTTAGGGTTCAGATCCAGTGTAACCTAATGAGCCACCCGGGAGTCACAGGAAGCTCGTGCATAAATGTCTGGCCTAGCTGTGACCGCAGACTTGTGCCTAATTACTTGTCACTTACAAAGACAGATAACTCTAGAAAACAAACAAACAAAAGACAGATGGCTCTCCAATACCTGTTTCCCACATCAGCTATGGAGTGCCGAGTCGGTAGAAGGTATCATCCCGAGGGCTCAGGCTATCTGAGGGGCAGACAGTGATGGTTTCATTGGATTTACTACTTGGTACTTGGGAATAGTCAGGGGCAGAATTAACCAAAAGGCGACTTACTCTTTAGTCACTTTTTTTCAACGACCTGGTCTTTTCGAGCAATCCCTGTGTACAGAACACTGTTCTAGGCATGAGGGGATTCAAAAAGCCGGAAAACTCAGATAGATGGACCGGTGCTTGTCAAGGCCGAGGTGGTGGGAGGATCCCGCCACTACAGTGAGCTCATGGGTTGGAGCCTGAGCCAGGTGGGCAGAGAGTGCTTAGAACCTGCTGCTGGGAAAGAGAGCAGTGGCCACATCACCAGATGCTTCCCCGGGAAACCTGGAGGAAAGGGAGGCACAAGTGTTCACATCTGGCTCCCAAAGCAAATTCCCCTTCAACCTGTGAGACGATGAGTGAAATTTAAACGCCCACTGTGGGATGGACAGAAGCAAGGGGGCACTGAGCACTATGAAAATGACCAGCCACAGCCTCTGTGCCGCCCTGAGTGAAGTGAGAGCTGAACCAGGGCAGCGTGCCGCACATCCTCGGTCTCTGGACCACTTTTCTTTTTTGCTTCGCTCTCTTTAGGTCCCTAACGCAATTGCCAAGTGCAAGCGGGCTGGCATTACTGTCAGAATGGTGACAGGCGACAACGTCAACACAGCACGAGCCATCGCCACCAAATGTGGCATTCTGACCCCCGGAGACGACTTCCTGTGCTTAGAGGGCAAAGAGTTCAACAGGCTCATCCGCAACGAGAAGGGCGAGGTGGGGCCACGGGGGGAGCGGCCAGGGCACCGCTCACAAGGGAATGGCTGGTTCTAGTGCGCAGTATCTGGGGCTCGTGGGAGCAAGTGGGTGGCTTCTAAACTGGAGTCTATTCATAGTGAAACAGCCCTTCCCACCGCAGCTGCTCGTACGGTGAATGGGGAGCTGTCTCGTCTTCATTCAGTTACCTGTGGGGACTTCGTGTCACCAACTTCGTGTTCTTTCTGCTTTTAAACTCCTGGAATGGTTTCTTTGCGCTGCTTTCCCCCTACCCCACCCCTCCAGTGTCACCGTCCTGTGATTGTGGGTGGCCACGGGCTTGTGCTTGGATGCATTATGGGTCTGGAATAGACTAAAGCTTCCAGGTCTGCGTGGAATCAGACTTTAGACCCCAGCAGCTCCTTGGAAGCCCCTGGGCCAGCTGTTAACCCTGACCTCCTCCTGTAATGGGCTAAGAAATAAGGATTGGCTCCCATTAAGGAAGTTGGGACGGACAAGAAAAAATGGGCCTGCATGGTCACCATCAGTGAAGCTTTATTGTCTGTCTCATGTCCCCAGAGGCCAGGGGCTAAGGATCCCTCCGGGGACCCTTGGAGGCTGGGGTTATGTGGAGGGTGAGATTCCACTCAACAGTGGCTCTGAGCTTGACTGATCCAGGTGTCTCCACTATTGGCAGGTGGAACAAGAGAAGCTGGACAAGATCTGGCCCAAGCTTCGGGTGCTGGCACGATCTTCTCCCACGGACAAGCACACACTGGTGAAAGGTGAGGTCCGCCTGTGAGTGTGTGTGCCTGCCATATCTAACCCTAATCCTCCTGCCTTTACCTCCCAAGTACTGGGCTTAAGGGGTGGACCATCACAGCTGTCTAGAGCTGGGGGTGGGGGGGTCAGTCCCTTGCTAGCAGGCTGGAGTCGTACGCTTGAACCCTTCAAAGCCGGCTCATGCTTTCCCAACTACCTAGCTGCTATGTGAGGCACTGGATGAAGACTGCCTTTCTCGGCACAGGGTGACTTGGTGAATCAATCGCCCTTGCATGGTTACTGTAGACCCAGCAGTAGAGAGGAAAAGAAAGGAGAGAGTAGAGGCAGAATAGTGAAGATGGAGGAGGAGATTAAAAGTGTCCCTTTCGGTTGAGGATTTAGCTCCGTGGTAGAGCACTTACCTAGCAAGCGCAAGGCCCTGGGTTCGGTCCTCAGCTCTGGAAAAAAAAAGAGAAAAAGAAAAAAAAAGTGTCCCTTTCATAGGAAACAGTACTCGCCACATGACCTCTGTTTTCGGGTTTCTATTGCTGTGAAGAGACACCATCAACCACATCAACTCTTATAAAGGAAAACATTTAATTTTGGTGGCTTGTTTACATTCAGAGGTTCAGTCCATTATCATCATGGTGGGACACCATGGCATGCAGGCAGACATGGTGCCGGAGAGGTAGCTGAGAGTCCCACGTCTTGCAGGCAACAGGAAGTGGTCTCTGACACTGGGAATAGCTTGAGCACAGGAGACCTCAAAGCCCACCCCCACAGTGGCACACTTCCTCCAGCAAGGCCACACCTCCTAATAGTGCCACTCTCTTTGGGGGGCCATTTTCTTTCAAACCACCATCACAACCTGAGGTGGCGTGTGTGTGTTCACTGTTGTGTGTGTCTCTTTGTCCCAGGTATCATTGACAGCACTGTTGGGGAACAGCGACAGGTGGTGGCTGTCACCGGTGACGGGACAAATGATGGACCTGCCCTAAAGAAAGCAGATGTTGGTTTTGCCATGGTAAGCTCACCAGGGTCTCCCCGTGGGTCACCTTCTCCATCATGAGCCAGGACAGTCTTCTGCTTCCTGTGCCTTCGCATCCCGCCTGTGCTCTTCTTCCTGCCTCCATCTCTCCTGCCTGCCTGGCCACTACTGTGTGTGAGAAACAGATGGAGGCTGTCGGGGAAATCACAAAGCGCCATACCCAGGAAAACAAGAGCACTGGGGTGACGCTGTGTGCCTGTGTGAGTCACAGGAAATTCAGCTTCCGCATAGAGCGTGTTCAGTACCGTGCTCTTCACATGTGAGCCCGGGAGTATCAGAACCTCGTGGCAAGTTCCTTTGTAAGTCAGATATCCCAAAGAGGCGCCTTGCTTCAGTTAGGTTGGATGGGTGCTGAACGTGTTTGGGGTTTGGTTTGGTTTGGTTTGGTTTGGTTTGAGGGTTTTTTTTAATGGTGATGATGGAGGGTTGATGGTTGTTGCAAGCACAGTAGTTGATTCTGGTGCGCAGAGAGGCTTGGGGGTCCCCAGAGTACAAAGCGCACCCTCACATTCAAGGGGCTCATTGCTCCCAGACTCCCATCCAAATCAAACTGCTGTTGGAATCTAAGCAATGCAAGGGAATTTAGAAATGTGTGTGTGTGTGTGTGTGTGTGTGTGTGTGCGCGCGCGCGCGTGCGCGTGCGTGCGCGCCAGTGTCATGTTAGCCAAGTTTGGAGATGGGCACCTGTAATCTCAACATTTGGGGGAATTGAGGCAGGAGGATCTTGGGTTCAAGACCAGCCTGGTCTATATAGGCAGTTCCAGACCAGCTTGGATCCATAGTAAGGCATTGTCTCAAAAAGAAAGAAAATAACCTATCTTTGTGGAGCTCTTTTTTTGTAACTATGCGTATGTATGTGTGTCTGTGTGTGAGCACATGCACAAGTATGTTGATGCCCATGAAGACCAGAGACAGCTGTGAGCCACCCAACATGGGTGCTGGGAATCCAGCTCTGGCCCTCTAGAAGGGCAGTGCGTGCTCTTAACCACCGAGCCGTTTCTCTGGCTCCTAGGGAGCTCTAAAAAACAAAACAAAACAAAACACAGTTTTAATTCTAAGAAAGCTCAAAAGTGTGTCTAAGAGGTTAGAGTCATATAGTGAATCCCCATAGACCTGTCACTCTGCTTCAGTAATTATCAGCATGGCCGGGTGTGCTGGTGCACGCCTTTAATCCCAGCACTGGGGAGGCAGAGGCAGGCAGATCTCTGTGAGTTCAAGGCCAGCCTGCTCTACAGAGTGAGTTCCAGGGTAGGCTCCAAAGCTACACAGAGAAACACTGTCTCGAAAAACAAAAACAAAAAGCAAAACAACAAAATAATTATCAACCATGTTGCTTCACAAACCACCCCCCACCAGCTTCCTCTATCCAACTGAACTATTCTATAGTCAGTCTAAGACGTTTTGTCATTTATAGTCATCAAGTTTGAAATATATCTCTAAATAATATATATCAATAAAATGTGTGTAAAGAATTATAATAGAAATTCTCATTTAAAAAAAACTGACAAGTCCTTACTCTCGCCAAATTCCAGTCAGTGTTTAAATTTCTCCCACTGACTCATAAATGCTTTTATGGTTTATCTGTCCAAGTCAGAATCCAAAGAGGATCCACACGTTATGGTTGTCTGAGGCATCGGTGGAGTCTCTGAATCCACAGCAGTGGCTCTTAAAGTGTGCCCTGTGTGGGCCTGGAGAGATAGTTCCATGGCCAAGAGCACTGTCTGCTCTAACAGAGGACGAAAGTTCAATTCCAAGCACCCACAAAACAGTTCACTACCATCTGGAACTCCAGTTCCAGGGGATCTGACTCCTTCTCTGGCAGTCATCAGGCACACATGTGGTGCACATACATACATATATGCAGACAAAACACCCATAGACATAAAATGAATTTAAAAAAACTGTATTCCAACTTCCAGTGCACCAGCAGTACCTGGAAACCTATGGAAATGCAAACTCTCAGGCACCACCCGAGTCTACTGGACCAGAAGGCCTGGAGTTGGGGGTCCTAATGTGCCCTAATGTTTGAGAGCCACTGATTTTGTATCAGCTTGTGTCCCAAAGACTGTCCTTAGAGTCACAAACGTCCGAGAAGGACTCATGGAACCTGGCCTATGTACTCTGTACACACGTAGCTAGCCATTGTTCCAGACGTGCGCTGGGGTTACAGTTAGATCCCAGAATGAATGCTGGCAGACTCCAGAGGAGTCCACGTGCAGCCTCCTGTGGTCTCCCTGCCACGATGGGAGTCCATTCTTCCGTATTTGCAAGCCTTCAGCAGGGTGTAGGATGCCTCGGACGGACGGGGAAGCCCATCACACTCAGCTCCCGAAGCTTTTATTAATACTGGCCTTTGGGAACGTTCTAACATATACCAAAACTCCAGGCTCCCTAAAGGGAAGTGGCAGCCAGATTGTTTCAGCACAGTCCACCAAGAGTGTCCAACCTGCAGTCTGCGGGTTACATGCAGACAAGGATTAGCTATGAATGAGACCCAACACAGAACTGTAAGACATGCTCTACATACCGTGAGATCGTGTGTGTGTGTGTGTGTGTGTGTGTGTGTGTGTGTGTGTGTGTGTACACACCCGGCTGTGTGTGAGTGAGCTACTTGGTCTCAGTGAAGTGCTGACCAGAGTGTTCTGAGAGCCAAGTTCTGGGGAGCCAGCCTTGCAAGTGGGCCTTTCTGAGGATGGCGGTCTCAGGGCCACTGCGTTGAGGGTCTGCGCAGGTCTCTTTCACCTCTGGCCTAGCTATTTCACATTGAAGGAACTGGGCTTATTGTCTGCACAGACAGTTCCAGTAGCACGAACGTGCTCGTTCTTCTCTATAGTCTCCTGTAACGTTGATATTGTTTGGTCCCTTGGCTTTGATTTGAGTGGGGTTTCATGTTTTCGTTTGTGTTTGTATCCACCCCACCTGTGTGTGTGTGTGTGTGTGTGTGTGTGTGTGTACCCACCAAGGTACGGGTGTGGAGGTCCGAGAACCACTTGGAAAACGGGTTTTCTTCCACCATGGGATCCCAGGATCAAACTCAAGGCATCAGATTTGCATGACCAAGTGCTTCGTGGGAGCTGGGGTCTTACTGTGTACCCTGGCTGGCCTGGAACTGGCTACAGAGAACTGCCTCTGTCTGTCTCGGGTACTGGGACGAAAGGTGTCCTGCCCTGCCACATCGGGTTTGGTTTTTGGTTTGTTTTGGTTTCGTTTTCTGCCTCGTTTTGGGTTTTGAGACATGGTCTGGCCTTCCCCTCAGTCTTTAGTCCAAGCTGTTCTCATACTTGAAGCGGTCCTCCTGCCTCAGCCTCCTGAGTGTGCACCTCTGTGCCTGGTTTGACCCTTGAATTTTCTGTACATTGGTTCTAGAAGCAATCAGATCCTATCTATGCCTTGGGGATTGTGAAATGACAGTGTTCTGAATTTATTTATTATTAATTTGGATAGTTACACAAAAGGAGCTTTCCCTTCATCTCTGTCTGATGTGCTCTATCACTGAGGCACAGCTCAGCCCAAACAAGGGAATTAGAACATATATTTGATGTGTTTCAATACATTGCTCTTGTTTTTGTCTTGAGCCCACATCGATCCATCATTAGCCAGGAAAAGCCTCTTCAGTGTCTCTGAGTCCTTTTAATGTAACCCTAGGTGTCTTTTATCGATTTCTTGTCCAATAAGACACTGCGGAGAGATCAGGACTATTCTTCATTTATTTATTTTGGTTTTTAGAGACAGGGTTTCTCTGTACATCCCTGCCTGTCCTGGAACTCACTGTGTAGACCAGGCTGACCTCGAACTCAGAGATCCACCTGCCTCTGCTTCCTGAGCGCTGGGATTAAAAGCATGTGCTACCACTGGCCAGCTGGACCTATTTCTTATCTTGGATCTAGCATGGAGCATTCCTTCCGGGGGCCCTGCGTCATTTCGGTGACAAGCCATATTAGGGAACACAAGCAAAGCACAAAGACACACCCTCCCTCTGAGCACACACCATTTCCATCACCAAGCTAAGACACGAGCTTCCACAGCCTACTGCTGTTCCTATACCTGTTCCTAAGATTAAATGCTTCCTGAATTGGTGTTCGTGTTTCTCATTCAAATTCAAAATTCTGGAATGCTAACCTCCTAATTTATTTCTAATTCTCTACGTTGTTTCTAGTGTCCCTAATTTTGTATTTATAGTTCTTAAGGTAAAAACCGTGATTCTAATGCTGTTAGTGTAATTATTGACCTTGTCTAAAGACATATGTACTAGTTATAAAATAACAAAAATAATTACTAAAAATGTTTTTTATCATTTTCTTTTGAGGCAAGATCTCACTATGAACCTAGACTGGTCTCAACCTTAATATGTAGCCCAGGAAAGCCTTAAATTCACAATCCCCCCTGCCTTAGCCTCCCGAGTCCTGGACTTACAGGCATATGCCACTAAATAGTTTTCTTTCTTTTTTTTTAAGTTTTTATATTATTTTTTATTGTTTGGCAGTTCCGAACATGCATATTATTCTTATTGTCTTTATCTGTAAATATATCTTACTAGAAATGCATCACCAAATTACTAAAAAGCATAATTTTTTAAAATAAAAAATAGAGGCTGGAAAGATGGGTCAGAGATTAATAACACAGGTTGCTCTTCCAGAGGATCAAGGTTGTATCCCCAGCACCCACATGGCAACTCACAGCTGCCTGTAACTCCAGTTCCCGGGTGTCTGGCGCCCTCTTGTGGCCTGTGGAGGCACCACACTTGTGCTTCGTGCACAGACATTCATGTAGGTGAAACATTCATGCGCATAAAATAAAAAATTAATTTTTTAATTAAAAAATTGGGGCTGAGGCAGGCATTGGTAGTGCATACCTCCCACCACTTGGGAGGAAGAGGCAAGCGGATCTCTGAGTTCAAGGCCAGCTTGGTCTATATAGTGAGTTCCGGGACAGCCAGAGCTACATAGTGAAATTCTGTCTTGGGGGGAGGGGGTGTCTGGAGAGATGGCTCAGTGGTTAAGCGCACTGGCTGCTCTTCCAAAAGTCCTTGAGTTCAGTTCCCAACAACCACATGGTGGCTCACAACCATCTGAAAGGGGATCTGATTCCTTCTGACTCGCATGAAGACAGAGCACTCAGATACATAAAATACAGGAGTAAAAAACTCTTAAACAAAACGAGGCAAACTACTGAAAACCCATTGGAGCCACTTTTATCTTCTGGAGCTGTGCCAATGACTGGCTGCAGCAGTTCATCATGTCAGGTGTTTTCCATTTTAGAGATGGACTTCTAATTAAATTCTGTGTTCTGATTACCAAATAGATTGTTGTAAAAGAAGTATACAGAACCAGGTTCAGCCTAGATGCCGGGTTCCTGTCCCTGTGTGTTCGTCCTCAGAAAACATTCATTTTTAAGGTTTTATATTATTCTTTTGCTGCTTTAAAATACAATCAATTAAGTCAGGTGTGGTGAAGCACACCTTTAATCCCAGTACTCGGGAGGCAGAGGCAGGCAGGTCTCTTCGAGTTCCAGGCCAGCCTGGTCTACAGAGTGAATTCCAGGACAGCCAGAGCTACACAGTGAAATTCTGTCTCAAAAAACCAAACAACCAAACAACAACAACAACAAAATCAAATAGGGACTAGAGAGATGGCTTAGTAGTTAAGAGCACCAGCTGCTTGTCCAGAGGACCCAGATTTGGGTTCCAGCATCCACCTGACAGCTCCCAGCCATCTGTAACTCCAGTTCCAGGGGACCTGATGCCCTCTTCTGGTCTCCACAGGACCAGGCCTGCCTGTGGCGCACAGACATGCAGGCAAAGCACCCATACACACAAAATAAAAATAAGTCTTTTTTTAAACTACAATGTGTTTCCCTACAGATAAATGGTAGCAGCTATATGGTGGTTTTTTCCCCCCACCTTTCTTTTCCTCAGTGGAAATTATTTCATAGTAGTGAGTGGATGCAAACATACTACTCTTCTTGTTTCTTTTCACAGTGCACCAGATGGCAGCAGGTAGCTGTGTTGAGGGTTGGGGGAGGGGGGCAGGATCGCCTATCCAACCTCAAACTGTACATCTTCCTGCCTTGGGATGCTAGGCATACTACCATGCCGGGCACTGTCGAACTTTTTGATAGAAACGCTGAGTTACATGCTCTTCTGTAGACAGTCTTCATTTGCTGCCATCTAGATAGTAAAACACTATTAGTAGGTAATTAGAATAATCTAGTATACGTCAAAATAAAGAGTAAGTCCTGGGACTAGAGGGCTGGTTCAGCAGTTAAAAGTAATCGCTGCTCTTGCAAGGACTAAGTTCAGTTTCTAGCACCCATGTTGGGTGGCTCACAACCACCTGTAATTCCTGCTTCCGGGAATCCAGCACCCTCCTCTGGCCTCTGCAGGTACCTCATACATGTGCACATACACACAGAGAAGAGACACATCAGTAGAAAAATTAAGAGATTTTTACAGAAAGAGCAAGCTCCTGTGGGTTAGGAGTTGCAGGATGTGTGACAGAAATACCGATTAGGGCTGTGTATGGTAACGTACACCGGTACTTGGGAAGTAGAGAAGGGAAAATCGGGAATCCGAGGCCAGCCTTGGCCACCTAGTGAATCTGAGACTAGCCTGGATTGCATGAGACCCTGTCTCAAAGAAAAAGAAGAGGATGAGGAGGAATGCTGTGTACAGCAGTGAGCTGTGTGCTGGGATGTTAGGATTTAACTGAACTGGGTAATAAAGATCAATAGGGTTCAAACATGGTGAGAGAGGATGTCTCGGGCTGGGAGAAATGATGGGAATAAAAGCCCAAACTCTAGAAAGGAATGAGTGATTCAGGGGATTTTTAGTAAACCAGTACATTTTGAGCAGAAAGCTTGCCTGAGAGCAGGTTGGAACCTGAATCTAGGGTCACTGTGGAGACATAGACTGTCAGCCTAGAAAGTTTCTATTCAAAAGGCCTTCATGGGTCCCCAGTGACAGGGTTTTGAACAATGACAGAACATTGTATGCTACGAGACCGCTCTTCCTAGAACAACCTGCAAGGTTTCAGAAAGGTGCTGGGGAGACGTGGACTCCAGTCCTGCTTGTGTTCAAAGAAATGTAGGAATTTGGAGGTAGACTAGATAGGACTTGTCCCCTCCCTTCCAACTCTGCGGTTGAGGGAGCAGTCGGGTAGGGAGAAAGGAAAAGATGTCTGATTCCTCACCTGAGGCAGCAGTCAGTGAGGTCTGACTCCAGATGTGCATCGTCTCCTCTCTCTCCTACCGCCAAGCAGCCATGGACCCATTGCCACAGTGGGAACCTAGCTACCACCGACCGCGTCAACTCCTCACTTCTCTGTGAATTGTGCAGCATTTCCAACCCAGGGTTTCCTCAGAACAACGAGCAGAGGTAGTGAGGGAGGCTCCATTCCACGCACGCACGCATGCACACACTTCATGGGTGCTTGCAAGAGACTGAGAGACTTGAGAATGGTGGTCCTTCCCTTGATCACCTTGGGGAATCTTTTCTGTAGAGCAGCAGCCTAGTGGAGCCCCTTTGTTTCCTGTGGTGGCTATAGTGCCCTCTAGTGCCTGTACCTGGTTCTGTCGCTTCTTAGAGGTCAGGGTTCTTAGGACCCTGGGTTTCAGAGTGTGCCGCGCTCCGAATTCAGCTGCTCACTGCCTGCCTTCCTCTCCCACCTCAGGGTATTGCAGGCACAGATGTGGCGAAGGAGGCGTCAGACATCATCCTGACCGATGACAACTTCACCAGCATTGTGAAGGCGGTGATGTGGGGCCGGAACGTGTACGACAGCATTTCCAAGTTCCTGCAGTTCCAGCTCACCGTCAATGTGGTGGCCGTGATCGTGGCTTTCACTGGAGCCTGTATCACTCAGGTTAGGCAGGGCTTGGGTGGCAGGGATGACTCAAGAGCTAAGCAACATAGGGTAGGGGATGCAGTATATCTATCTACTCAGGAGTAAAGGACAAGTGTTGCCCAGCACAGTTTGGACAGCTAGCTATTGTAGATTTACAGTCTCTACCGTAATGGTCACCTACCATTAATTTATCATTCTTCTGTCAGAAACTATGAAGAGAACTTATGTGGATTATCTTGGTCTTTTCAAAGCAAGCTTGCTAGGCAGATGTTATTTTCCCCTTACAGTGAGGAGCCTAAAGTTATGTAAATTTGTCAAGGTCACTCCATAGCTAGGTAGCCGAATTTAAGGTCTAGTGAGTAGTGGGAGCTAAGCTACCTCAAGGGAAGGATGGAGCTGGAGAGCGAGACAGGCTTGCTTTCTGGAGCACGCTGAAAGGGCTGGTCCTTCTTCCCACCAGGATTCTCCACTGAAAGCAGTGCAGATGTTGTGGGTTAACCTGATCATGGACACGTTTGCTTCGCTGGCCCTGGCCACAGAGCCCCCTACCGATTCTCTGTTGAGGCGTCGCCCCTACGGGCGAAACAAGCCTCTGATCTCACGGACCATGATGAAGAACATCTTGGGCCACGCGGTGTATCAGCTCACGGTCGTCTTTGTCCTTGTCTTTGCCGGTGAGCCACAGTTGGGGAAGGAGGGCAGCTGTCGGGTGCTAGATCTGTTAGGGACAGAGAATGGCTGAGAAGAGATGGTAGTGTGGTGCTTGGTGACGTACAGACCCACGTAATAGCAGCTTCAGCCACGAGTGCTGCCCCTGTCTTCCCGACAGTGCACGTGGCTTCCCATCATGCCACACCACGGGGGAACAAGTACCAGCGGAACCAACTGACGGACAAGATCAGATAGGTTGAGACCAGAGGCAACCTTTGAAATATTTTGTTCTTGGGCCCTGGAGAAAGAGTTCCATACTTAAAAACACTTGTTGCTTTGGCAGAGAACTTGGGTTCGGCTCCCAGCAGCCACATGGTTCACAACCACCTGTAAATCCAGTTCCAGGGGATCTGATGCCTGCTTCTGACCTCCAGCGGCACCAGACACACACGTGGTGCGCAGACATCCATAAAGACCAAACACTCATACACATAAAATACATAAATCTAAAATAATTTTTCAATGTTTTATTATAAAAACAAAATGTTCAGCCGGGTGGTAGTAGCGCCCGCCTTTAATCCCAGAGGCAGGTGGATCTCTGTGAGTTCGAGGCCAGCCTGGGTTACACAGAGTGAGTTCCAGGAAAGGTGCCAAAGCTGTACAGAGAAATCCTGTCTTGAAAAACCAATAAATAAGTAAATGAATGAATGAATGAATGTAAATGAATAAAATAAAATGTTCACTAACTAGTGTAACCCAGAAGCTGACCAATTAAAATGAACTCTCTAGTGGCCAGAAGCCACTGGCGTGGCTGTCCCAGCACGTTCTGACTCAGCCTGAACAGGCACTGAGACCACAGGTGTTCTCTAATACCTGCCCTGCCCCCGCCAGGTGAGCGAATGTTCGACATTGACAGCGGGAGGAAGGCCCCCCTCCACTCGCCTCCCAGCCAGCACTACACCATCGTCTTCAACACCTTCGTCCTGATGCAGCTTTTCAACGAAATCAACTCCCGGAAGATACACGGCGAGAAGAACGTCTTTGCGGGCATCTACCACAACGTCATTTTCTGCTCCGTAGTTTTGGGCACATTCTTCTGCCAGGTGAGATTCTGACTCGAGTGGGGGTAGCAGGGGGGCCTGGGGGACAGAGAACAGAAGCCGGGGAGCCAGGACTCTCATGTGCCCGAGATGAGGAGGAGAGGGAGTTATGGGGACCAAGACTGTGAGTAAACACTTTGGGGTCCTCAGTTTGCTTCCGTGTGCGCCTTGGTCTGGACCTGAGCCCAGTCAGGTGCCCCGGGGCGAGGTAGCATGTCACCTGCAGATACGGCTTGTAGAAAACTTGGATGATCTTTCTAAATGTGCATACAGTGACCAAGAGAAGGGCCACCATCTTCTACCTCCTTTCCAGGCCAGCGCACATGGCATGTGCATGTACAGGTTGTGTAGGCTCCCCACCCCTTCCCCTTCTCCCTGCCCCTTTGTTCTGAGTGGGCTTATGCTCGAAAATGCCACCCAGTTCACAGAGGAGAGTGATGGATTGGCGCACACATAGCTGCTCTGCTAACCCTGGCCTGGGCCCCTGTTACGGGAGCGAGGGTCAAGAGCACGGTTGCCTGGGAGTGGAAAAATGAGTTCCTTCCTTCTCGCCGTAGTCAGAGGTCCACTAAGGCAGGTGGCTACAAAGGATTATGAGCAGGTCACAGTACAAAAGAACATCTTCCTGGGGCTGGAGACGTGGCTCAGTAGTAAGAGAGGACTGGAGTTTGAATTCCAGCACCCACATCATTTGACTCACAGTCACCTGTAACTCTAGTGCCGGGGGATCTGACACACTGTTCTGGCTTCTGTGGCACGTGGATCAGAGTACAGACCCACACATAGACACACACACACACACACACACACACACACACACACACACACACACACAATTTTAAAAATAAATCTTGCCGGGCGGTGGTGACGCACGCCTTTAATCCCAGCACTGGGGAGGCAGAGCCAGGCGGATCTCTGTGAGTTCGAGGCCAGCCTGGGCTACCAAGTAAGTTCCAGGGAAGGCACAAAACTACACAGAGAAACCCTGTCTCGAAAAACTAAAAAAATAAATCTTAAAAATAAGCTGGCTTTTCTCTCAGCAAAGCCCCTCTACACCCCATCCCTCTACCCCCATTCCTGACTCTGTATCTTCTCCCTGTCACCCATTGGCCTCAGTCACAGGAAGCCTCCAGCTTCCTCTGCTCTGGCCAGACCGTACATTAATGTACATTAATCACTGTCACAATAACCATAGGAACAGCGTGATTCCCACTGAAGTGCTATAAAGATTGCATCTGCCACCCTTCTCCACGCCTAGAATTTCTCTTTCCCGGTCCACAGGAACATCAGGACTTGCACCACCAGGGCCCTGCAGGGGGTGCTGTGGCCTTGGCCACCTTGTCAGCCTTGGTGGGTGGAGGGCTGACTTCCTGAGAGTGCCTTCCATCATGGTTGGCTGCCCTTTTGCTCTGTTTCAGATTTTAATCGTGGAATTTGGGGGGAAGCCCTTCAGCTGTACACGCCTCAACCTGGAGCAGTGGTTGTGGTGTCTCTTCATAGGGATTGGAGAACTTCTGTGGGGCCAGGTGAGTGCGGTGTGCCCTCCACAGACCCTCCAGGATGCAGACCTCTCCTCTGAATGAGAGGGGCCAGTGGCTACAGACACCAGCTCCCTGTTTCATCTCACCCTCCCCTCCCTTCCCCTCCATCCTTCCGTCTTGGGGTGCTGGGTTGGAGTGACCACTGCCTTCCCTTCAGGGGCTTATGTTCTCTGCCCACACCTAGAGGCTGCAGAAACTTAGCTTTTTTGAAGCAGAAGTAGAAATTTTCCGTTAAAAAATAAACCTGAGAGTTCACGAGCCGCCGTCCCGCTAACGCAGCAGCCTAGCCAGGGCTATTGCACCGTGTGGTTCAGGGCGTCCTGCGTCTTCTGTGCATCACCATGGCTTTCTCTGGTTGAATGCCCAACTCCACCTGAGATAAATCAGTACTGCAAATGCTCTCGCGAGGAGGCGTGACACATAGATTAGCACAGTCTCTGGAATCGACTGGGAGGGCTTGAATCACCCTTCTCCTTTCCACAAGCAGAGTAGCCATGGGCGACTCCATTAATCGGGGACCTCAGCATAGGATAGCAGAGTCATCACTAATTGTTACTATACAAAAAGATAGGACAATACCTGTGATAAGTACTCAATGAGTGTTAGTATTCATTACAATAATGTCAGCTTAGCTAAGCGTTTCATCCCTCCCTTAGCTCTGACCTGGCCTGTTCTTTGCAGATCTCAAGTTTCTGCTGAGAATCCCTTAGTGCCCCTTCACAAGCTAAGGATGGAATTAAGAAAGGGGGTAAAACCGGGGTTGGAGAGATGGCCTAGTAGTTAAGAGCACTGACTGTTCTTCCAGAGGACCCGGGTTCGGATTCCCAGCTCACATATGGCAGCTCACGACTGTCTGTAACTCCAATTCCAGGGAACCGACACCCTTACACAGGCAAAACACCAATGCACAATAAATTAATTAATTAAAAAGTTGTTTTCCTAGCCAGGTGGTGGTGGCGCACGCCTTTAATCCCAGCACTCGGGAGGCAGAGCCAGGCGGATCTCTGTGAGTTCGAGGCCAGCCTGGGCTACCAAGTGAGCTCCAGGAAAGGCGCAAAACTACACAGAGAAACCCTGTCTCGGAAAAAAAAAAAAAAAAAAAAAAAGCAGAAAAAGTTGTTTTCCTATTTATTCCTTTCTCAGCCCCTCAGCTCCGTAAGTCCAATGTGCCGGCCCTTCTCCCGCCTTGGTTTGCCCCAGACCCCACTTTTCCCTGCTGTGCGCCCGCTTTGTAGTTCTCTTGTCTAGAACTACAAGGATCACACTGAAGGAAGAGCCCGGACTGAGTGTGAGTGTAGGAAGGCACACGGCTGAGAGATTGTGGGAATTAAGTCCCCTCCTGTGTGTCCATGAATGTTGGCACCTTCCCAGGAGCTGACAGCCGGAACAACCAATTAGTTAATCTTCTGGGCAGATTAGTGCTTCTTGGTGCTGTCCTGGTGGGAAAGGGCAGAGGAGCCTCCCCAGGGCCTGGCCCGGGCCAGCTAACATCTCTTCTTCTCCACTCTGGCTGTTGCCCTCTTGGCTGTGGCTGCCCTCAGATCATCTCTGCAATACCGACCCAGTCTCTGAAGTTCCTCAAGGAGGCTGGGCATGGCTCTGCCAAGGAGGAGATCACCAAGGACGCCGAGGGAATGGATGAGATTGATCTTGCTGAGATGGAGCTGCGCAGAGGCCAGATCCTCTGGTTCCGTGGCCTGAACCGGATTCAGACTCAGGTACTCTGTAGTGGCTTGTCCTTACCCTGGGAGAAGAGATCTCCCCATCCCGGGAAGGGGTAGGAAAGTCGCGATTCCGGGCAGCCAGCACCCTTACCCCTTGCTAAGGCTCGCTGCTGAAGGGTGGCCTGAGCTCCTTGGCTTCAGGGTCGACAAGGCCAGAGGTCTCTGTGGGACTGACTCCTCTAGGAGGGAATGGTCAACAGACTGGACCCTGGGTCACTATTCACAGAGTTCCTCAGCTGTGGTTGGCCCTACAGTGGACCCCTCAGGTCTGTCAGTGGAGCTGTCTTCCCACATAAGGTCTATTCCAGTGCCAATCTTGACCCCAAGATAGGGAATGTGTAGTCCTTCCCTGGCCCCCAAAAAAGGACTAAGAGACCCTGTTTTTATAAAATTGGGAGGAAGAGTCAGCATCCCTGGCAGTCACTTGGGGTGACCTTCATGCTGCTGTTGTGGTAAAAAGCCGTTGTCAGAGATCTTTGTTAAAGAAACTGGCCTGCTTCCGTTTTCCTGGCTTGATGGGAGGCCTCTCTCGGAATCCGTTGATTAAGTGGGTGTGGACAGCAGTCTCTCAGTTGATACCTTTGAAGGATTCAGACTTGCTTCCGAAAGAGAAAGAGGCTGTCCTTTCTTCTAAGCCCTTTCTTTCCCTTCCTGTAATTTCGGAAATGGGGTGCAAGTGAGTCCCCTGCTTATAGCCCTAACCGTAACTTTTTCCCCCTCCACTTGACTTGTGTAACTACCTTCTGGGTGAGCGGACTGGCCTTGGCATCGATAAGGCTTTTCCTCTGCTCCAACCCCTCGATCCTTTACTGTTTTAGTCCCAAGATTCCTGAACCAACCATCAGTTCCAAGATCACCAGGGGACGCTCCAGAGCGAGGCCTGTTTCTTCCTCCTAGTTGGCTAGAGATCCCCAAAATATTTCATTTTCAATGTTGAATGAAATTTGTTGAATGAACCAGCCTTCCACTGGTTCAGAAATTTGTCTGGCCAACCCCCACCCCCACCCTGCTTAGTGCACAGGGAAAATAAATGAATGCACACTCTAAACTATATACCCAGTAGGAACTGTCCTTCCCTGAGCAAGACACCAGCAGAAAAGTGGGCAAGATACAGATAGGGGACTCCAGGGCTCCTTTCCTCTCTCTGCCAGGAAAGGAATCTGAATCGTGACCTGCAGACTGCCTCATGGCGTCAAGTCCCCACCTCTGCCCACCCTCCGTCCCGAGTCCCGTGGGTGGCTGCAGATCTTGACTCCCACTTCTGAAGCCCCCCGTTGCTGTCCTTTGGGTCTGCTCTTTTCAAAATAACCTCTTTGCTTTTCTTCCCTTCAGGATCGCCTGCCTCCTCTTCTCCTGTGTGATTGTTTTGTTTTGTTTTCCTAGCCAGGACCCCTCCTTCCGAAGCCTCCTTGCTTCTTGCCGGTCTTCCTGTGGGGAGCTGAGATTCCTGGACCTTCCTCCCCCTTCACTGCCCGTTCCCATTCCCTCGCCTGTACTCCTGTTTGATCTCATGTAGCTTTCGGCATACTTCTTTCCCTGCTAGAGCATAAAGGAGCTGGGTCAGAATGGCTTTAAAGCCTAAATTTGAGGCCACGCATGGTGGTGCCTGTCTTTAATCTCAGCACTCAGGAGGCCGAGGCTTCCTAGTTGCAGGCCAGCCTGGACTATATAGCTAGATCCTGCCTCCAAAACAGAGAGGCAAAAGCCTAAACTTAGGCTCCAAAGGCAGCCCATTAAAGATGCCATTGAGCTCTGCGGTGGTGGCGCACGCCTTTAATCCCAGCACTCGGGAGGCAGAGCCAGGCGGATCTCTGTGAGTTCGAGGCCAACCTGGTCTACATTGCGAGATCCAGGACAGGCACCAAAACTACACAGAGAAACCCTGTCTCGAGGGGGAAAAAAAAAAGATGCCATTGACAAGACCCACCCATGCCGTTGTAATTGGCACCCGACTGTGTGGACGATGCTGAGTGCGCTGAGTATACCTTCCATGTCTAAAGCCCTCCCACCCCATCGATTGCTCAGCCTCAGTGGGGTCCTAACAAAACCCCTCACTGTCAGGCTGCTGGTCCAGATGGTCCACCCCACTGCAGCAGGTGGGGTGGGGGGTGCTGCCAAGCGCCTGCTCAGTCCTGGTTGGGATTTCCCCCTTTCCCTGGTCTAGGCGGTTCCTCCCTTTACCTTCTCCCTTTAGTTCGGAGGAGGTAAGAGCACTAGATAGCAAATATTTGAAGAATGAAAGGACTGGACTCTTAGAACAGTAAACATGGAGTGCAATTTCATTGTGGAAGTTGGACCTTGTAACGCTGTAAGCACCTAGAAAAGAGCCTCTACCTTCTTCATGGGCTGGAACCTTCGCCAGGGAAGCCCTCACCTCCTGCTTTGGCCCTCAGTCCACTGAAACAGAAAATCACAAAAGTGAGAAAAAGCGGGTGTTTTAACCTTGGTCTCCACCCGGAGGCTACCCCTAAGCATTTCATGGCTTCCCAGAGACTTTGTATACAAGAAGAGGAGTCTGCCTCATCTTCTGGGGATGCAGTCGAAGGACAGAGACAGTGCCTTTCCCGTCCTCCTGGACTGTTCCTAAGGGGATCCCAACAGATCTCAGAAGGATAAACAGACCCCTTTCTATTTGCTCCTTATGATTTAGGGGTCAAAGAAAAGGAGAGTGGATTGATGCCGACCCCAGATCACAGTCACTGTGGGAAAGCACGGTGATGGTATTAATTGCCTCTATCCTTGAGGTGGAGCAAGCTGAAAGCCAGCGGCCTGATCTGGTAGGCAGGTAGACTTTGAGAGCCTCCAGGCACCAGCACCCGCCTGGCCACCGCCAGCCGCTGGGGTGCCAGCTCTCAGGAAACTGCTGACTTCCTGTCGGCAGGTCTGCCAGTGAAGCTCTCTGGTGCTTCAGGAATACAATGAGTAGAATTCTGTCTAATAGGTCACCTGAGCTCCGCTGCAGCCAGAGGAAGAGGTGGTCCTGAAAGACACCTCATCCAAGCAAAGCAGCTCACAGTCTAGTAGTCTTCCGACCGTGGTCACCCGTGTGTGGACTGCTGTACTGCCCGTTTTTCTTTAAACACCTGTTATTTTCCTGGAACTTTTGTCAAAATGATTAGTTGACTTAGTTGGTTTAGAGGCTCCTGAGCCCTAAGTTTCACTAATATATATATATGCTTTGCTTCCGATATGTCAAATTGTCTGCCTTATTTTTTAATCAATTAATTTTTTTGTACATTTTATTTAATTAACATTTTTTTCATTTATTTTACATACCAACCACAGTTTCCGTCCACCTTATTTTTAAGGGCACAGGTCAAAATGATGAATAAGCTACTGGTCTCTGCCTAGCTGTTAGTTGTAGGGAGAAGTTCCTTTATATTTTAAAAGGCCTTTGGACTCCTGTCCATCCTAAGCTACAGGGGAATGAAAACCGAATCATAGTGGGGTGTTTGAAAAATCCATAGCAAATTGTCCCTTAAATGAAGTGTAATATGCAATTTGATGACCTTCCCAACCCCATCTCCACCTGCTGCTCTGGGTTCGAGGGACTCTCTCTCTTGCTCTTCGTCCCCTTTCCCCAGCCCTCCTGACCCTGCCTTCCTCTTCCTTCCCTTCCCTCTGACTGTGGAGCAAAGCTGTCTCACTCTCTGATTCTTTGCAGATTGAAGTAATTAACACATTCCAGACGGGAGCCTCTTTTAAGGGAGTCCTAAAGCGACAGAACATGAACCAACAGCTTGATGTAAAGCTGGTTCCTAGCTCCTATTCCGCTGCTGTTACTCCAGCCAAATCTTCCCCTTCCACCTCTTCTGCCGTTCCGTCTCCTCCTGTGGGCAGTGAGTGAGAGTCTGTTACCATGCATGATTTGCTAGAGCGACCACAAGAGAGCACGTGGCATCCACTTTAACCAACCGTGGTTACTTATCCTTTTCGGTTTTTCCCCCTTCGACCTTTTGACTTAAAGGAAGAAAAGACAAAAAAAAAAAAAAAAAAAAAAAAAAAAGGTTAAAACCAGGCTGTCTGACCTTTCATTTTACTTCCTTTTTTACTGATGGAAAGTAGTTAAACCTTAACTATTTTAAAGACAATAGTCCTGCTTTCCGATTGTTCTCTGCATTGCCTGCTGCTTCTTTTCCTGAATTGTTTTGCTTGGCTTTGCTTTGTCTCAGCTCAGGTTTGCTTTGTTGCACTGTCCCTCTCCCCCTCTTCTGGTCTAACTCCGCCTCTTTAGAGATGAAGTCCGTCCTTAGTGAAGACCTAGGAAGTCTCTTCACTTGGGGGCGAGGGAGCCGCTGCCCACGGGTCCTTAACCAGGGCCTGGCCAAATGGAGCCAGTACCAAACTTGTTCAATAACTTCAGTCCTTTGGGACTGCAACCCCTGCACTGTTGGCTGGCCACCAGATTGGAGAAGAAGTTAGTCCAACCTGTGTTGTCTCACCGCTCATAGATGACCTTAACTATAACTCTAGTTCAAGAACCAATTAACTCACAAATGAGCAGGAGAAATAAAACGATTCTGGCCCCTGTGGTCGTATGTGGCACCCCAGCACTCAGTAGGCTGAGGCAAGAGAATTGTGACTTTAGAAGTTTCTGAAGAGCCCCCCACCCCCACCCCATCTTTTCATCTGGTTTGATTGTTCAGCAGCCAGCCCTTTGTATCATGCTTTGCACATTCAGTTTTAGGAAAACCTGCCTGTCTAGACTTACTTAGTACCTGTCGGATTTCAGCCTAGGGCCTAGGGCTTGCTGCTCTTCCTGATAGACTGTTGAACACTTGCTAACTAATGCCTTCCTATTTCTGGTCGTTTTACCTTCCCGGAACAGGAAGCAGGGGGAGGCTGTCATTCTAGTGCCTGGTGAGGGAAGGTCCTCCACCGTCACACGTATTATTACGGACTTTAAATGCCTGCGTGTCCAGGGCGTCCCTCCCGAAGCCAGCCCTGGGTTGCTTTGCCCATGCTTCACGTGACTGTGGGGCTGGTGTTCCAAGCTTCAACTTGTTTTTGCCTTTTAGCTACCCCATAAGAGTTCTGGTATGAGTTGGGAGTGAGGGTGGAGGTGACAGTGATGGCTGCTTTTTCCTTCAGGCCCAAAGGCAGGCCTGGAGGCACTAAAGCCTTGCCCTGCCCAGTGCAGACGCCTCCCCCTCTAGTCCTCCCACATTCCTGACTTAATCCCTTCTCTCTCTCAACCCGGCCATCCCCTTCTAACTAGTTTCAGTCCTTCTTAGCCATTTCTCTGTAGAAACGGCTGGTGCTGGCCGTCCCAGAGCTTTGATGGCAGAGACCAGTGGGCTCAGAGGAGCTGGTAGACCCCATGTCCTGAGCCCCCAAAAGTTTACACCAAAAGGAGAGACAGACCACACCTGCTCCTTCTCCAGTTTGGCCCTTCCCTGGAGGTCCGGGGATTGCAGTTGTGTGTTTTAAAGCCCTCGTTCCCGTTCCAGAGCACTTAAAATGCTGTGCATCCTATCTCCCTCAGGTCTCTACGGCTTCCACCTGGGAGGAAGCCTCTTACTTCTCTAGCCCTAGTCTATGACGTGGGAGTAGAAAAGCACAGTATTCCAGTGGGGAAATCATCAGCTCGTGCACAGAGCTCCACAGTATGCTCCACTTTCTCCTGATGGTCCAGCCTACTCTGGCCTCCTGCCTCATGAAGGAGTTACCCTTCAATCCGCCCCTGGGGAAACATTTCACAGAGGGAAGCGTTGGCTGGCTAAGTGAGGAGTGTGTGAAGCTTTCCCCATACCAGCTCCACCAACCCGCCCTTGTCCCCACGTACTTGTCCATGTACCCCATGGAGACCCTGTGCTCCAGGCACAGAGGATGCCAGCCCTGGATCAGTGGGTGACAGGCTGTGTGACTGTCCAGCAGCACACGTTCACTGAGCCAGTGTTGGAGTTGAGCATTCCAGCACAGCCCCAGGCCTCTGCCGCTCACTTTCGCCCCCACCCCCTGGGCCAGGTGCCCTGACTCCTTGCCTGAGCTTCCTTACAGGTTAGCTGGTTCTCCTTATCCCCAGAAGTCCTGAAATCTAACTGAACGACTGTGCTTTGCTTCCCCGAAAGGTTCCCCTCTTCCTCCCAATTGCCCATCCCTCTTTTCTTCTATCTCCCTCATTTGTTTATCCATGAGAGTGTTATTAATTGCCCCGGGGGGGGGGGGGGGAATCAGAACAGGCTGAGACCCTCCGACCCTAATTTTCACAAATCAACTCCTTTTATAATGGATTTCACATATAATCGTTGCAAAAAAGTGTCCAGTTGCTTAAAAAGAAAAAGGAAAAAAAAACCTAGAAGCAACCAATTTAAGTCACTAATCTAGAAGACAAAGAACTAGTGATATAAAGGTACCTGCCCTCCAAAGAGAGGTGGTTCGGGACCTGTCCCTTGTGGCCAAAGTGTCTATACCAGGGCTAAGGGAGAGAGCATTGAGTTTGAGCTCGCTTAATCTAACTTACAGAAAAGTTGGGACCACACGATGGGTAGAGGTGGCCTCTATTCTGCCTAATCTTTATCCAGATCTGAGCAGGAGCAAGCTGCCTGGTGAAATTCACCAGCAGATGGGCAGCAGAACCACAGACGAATGGAAACAGGCCCTCACTGTTGCCGATGAGGTTCCAGATGCCTTTACGCTTCTTTATGGATGCCACAGGGTCGAGCTGGCCGTTGAGTGGCAGAGTCTCTTGCCTTCTAAGGTCTGGACACCCCAGTCATGGGTGACTCTGTCGGCTATAGAGGAGAGAGGCCAGGGAAGGACAGCCTTAGCCAGAGAAGAGAGAGCCACAGTTCTGATGGGGAGGCTGCTGTAGGCAGTCTGTTTGAGGGATCTGTAAAATGATGAGAGGTTCAGGGACAGGAAATCCAGCTGGCTTATTTGGCTAACTGTCCATGTGTGCCGCTACCTCCTTGCTCTTGCTTCTTCTCCAGGGATGTATTTTTTTATTTAAACAGCAGAAGAATAAAAGAGACACTCTTACCCCAACACCCACTGCTCCTTCATAACCCTTCTCCCGACCTTAACAACTTCTGCATCCCCCCTCGGTTCTTTTCTGAAGGAGAATGTATCTGAACCAGACTAGGACTGGCCACTTCCCCTAACAAAAACCACCCAATCACCATCTTCCTTCCTTTCCTGATCTCCCTTCTCAGTTCTCTCTGGCATCCAACGCCCCCCCACACACACACACACACAAACACACACACATACACCGCACCCCAATCTACCAGCCCAGATTCTAAGCCACACTTGAGTGACAAAGTTCAGAAACGTAGAATTAGCAGAGCAAAACAACAGCAAAAAAAAAAAACAAAAACAAAAAAAAAAACAAAAACACACAAAAACCCAAGTTGACGCTTCTGACTAAGGAAAAGCTGCTCCCCAGAGAGGGCAGTAGGGCTTCTCTGGACTCCTTGACAGATTGAGTCCCTCCTGTGTAGTAAGAGAGGGTGACAGGGTAGTGTGTTTGTCCGTCTCCCCAGGAACAATGCTGCCTCTAGGATCAGGTTTCTCTCCTGGTCCTCTGCTTCTTCACACAAGGTCATGTTCTTCTTTACAATCTGCAAATGGCTGGGTCAAGCAGCATGAATTTACACGTTGGGTCTGGGCAGCATTGCTGTGGCTCAGACATGAGTGTGCACTTGAATGGGGGACACCAGGCCTTCTTCAGGAGGCTTCTTTTGACACCTGTCTGTTTTCTGCCTCTTCCGGGAGAGGAGGGCATGGAGCGGAGGAGCTCCACTTTTGAGGGGGAGGGGACACAGTGGAGGTTGTGGGGGGTATGAGGATGTGCATGTCTTCTGACTGAACCGTTAGGGACTTTTCATTTCCTGCATGCTGCGGAATGAAGACTGGTTTGTCTGCCTGGCCGCACAGTATCCACGGGCACTTGTCACCCAGGGTTGATCGTGTGCAGATTGGTGAATGCTGGCTCTCTGAGGGGCTTTCAACGGATAACAAAACTGCCGTATGTGATTCTCCCTTCCCACACTCACAAAAGGTTTGGCTTCACTCCAGAAAGCCACCCGTGGGGGTTGTCTTTTAAGTTTGTCCGTCAATGTCACCTAGTTCCAACACGCTGTCCTCTGTCCAAAAGAACTAATGAGTCTCTTGGTTTGGTTTCATTTTAAGAGTGGATTGTTTGGGAATGCTAAGTTCGCTTTGTGCTACTTTTTGGAATGCAACCTTTGAAGCATCCTTGTTGTCTGCCTCACTGACGCCTCGTGCTTGAGATTTGAGGCGTGTGGTGGCTTGGGTTGTTGAGCCGCCGTGTTTTGTGGCTGGGGTTTTGTGGTCTTTCCGTAGACCACTAATTTTTCCTGTTCTGCGTTACCAATTCTCACCTCCCTATCTTCTCACCCTCTTTCTCATCCCCCTGGTCTAGATCAAAGTGGTCAAAGTGTTCCATAATTTCCAACAAGTCGTCCATAAACCCAGGAACCAACACTCCATCCACAACTTCATGAACCACCCTGAATACAACGTAGACGATGAATTTCCGAAGTCATCCCAGGATGATCAGGAGGAAGATTCCGGACCGGGTCCTAAATCGGGGACTGGGGTGCTCCTGTTGGATGGTGAGGCCACTCCACATGACAACAAAAACAACAATGCCGTGGACTGCAACCAAGTGCAAATCGTCGCCTCCCATTCCGACAGCCCGCTGCAAAGCCTGGAGACATCAGTTTGAACGTCCATTCTCTGACTCCCGTCCCTGCTTTCCCTGTTTCTTTTATCATCTATCCCGTCTATAAGGTGACGATGGGACTTGTCACTGTTGTGTCAGCTGCTCCTAAGTGTGTGAGAACCCCTACGTTGGCCGTGAAGAAACCAGAGCACAGGCCTACAAGGATTCGGCCAAACCCTGGGCAGGTAATGGTAGCTCTACTCCTCAAGTGTATCAGTTGTCGTCTTTAAGGAAATGATGACAATCCTCCTGGCATCACCCAACCCAAGGTCTCCACAGCATTCCCGCAGGTGTCACCGCCTCCTGACTTGGAGACTTTATGAGTTTCTGCCATTGACAAGCTGAGTTGTAGGCTCAGGGAGAGACAAATACCCTGTGTTTGTGTTTCAGTAGACTGATTACTCTTAGAACATTTTTCCTATTCTGAAAATGTCCACCCTAAGGCCTCTAGCTCTTCCTGCTCTTCAGTCTGACCTCTCCAAGGTTCTTTGGTTCTTATGTGACCCTTCTCATCCTTCCTCTTAACTCTTTATTTTTTTTTTTCCTAAGTTGTGGTAATTAAGAGAATGGAAAGGACATGGACAAGCTGAGTCAACTTTGGCCCCTTCTGGCCCCCGTAGAACCTTTCATTTTGTTCTAGAGGCAGGCAGATTTCTTTGCTAAAATGGTCTTTTTGGAGCAAATGAGCTAGTGAAATATTTCTCTATTTCCACCAGGTCAGCTCCAACTTCTGAATGTCCATTGGTCTTCTTGAGTATGTCGGGGTTTTTAAGTGCCAGGGAAATCAGCCATGACCATGAAGCTTTCATATGTATAATATGTAGTTTTTAACCACAGGCTTGAGCTTCCTCCTTGCCTAAGGTGGTAGCAAAAGAATGAATGGGGCATGACCCTGCCTCCTAGCTGGATGAGGAGTTTCAGGACCAACATGGGGCAGGCGTAGGACCAGAAATCACTGAAGCAGACTATTTTCAAGGGTATTTGCCAAGACTCTCCCAGGGCAGGAGCTGATGGATAGGGGAATGGGTGTTCAGAAGCCTTGGGAGGGGCTAGAGAACCAATCCCTAGGGATCTGAGAAACCTCCCCTCAGGCTAGGCGCCTGAGTACCAGCTTTGACATCCTCTTTGCTTTTCTAATTCTATGCTTTGTTGTGTCCCACAACATTTTCTGCCTCTCAGGAGGTCCCCAACTCTTGCAAATATTTCAATGTTGAAAATACACACCGGAAAGAGGAGGCTCCCTGACAGGGTTCTGATTCAAGGAGCAAAAGGCCCTTCCCCGGAAAGCTCCCTGCCTCCTCTCTCCTCGCTTCACACACACGCTCTCCCAGCCGTCAGCAGTGTCTCCACTGCTACCCAGGAAAGCCCGTGCCTTTTCACCCCCAACACTGCCCAAAGCATCCTCTGCCCACCCGCCTCTCGGGAGTTGGGAACTTCACCGAAAGGGACTTCGCCTTACTGGGATGAGGTGGAGGCACGTTCCCAGGTGCTCCATCTCTACCCCTGCTATGCTGATCTAAGCATGTTTGTGCAGGTGGACCAAACTGATGTCCCCAAGTCCCATCTCCCGTGAGTTCAGTGAAGCCTGCCTCCCAAGGCTCATGAGAGCTGCCAGGGTTCCACTTGGGAGAGAAAGACAAGATGAACTTGTCCCCTCCTAGCCTTTCTTCTAGAGATCTTCCTCCACCCAAGCTGCCAAGATAGGATGAGTAAAGGAACAATCCCCAGTCCGCACCCGTTACAGCCTGCTCCATCATTACAGGAAGTAGCGAGAAGGCTTTGATTTTGAGTTTTGCAAAGCTTACACACTTGAGCAATCTTTCCTCGTGGCGAAAAAACAGCTCACTGGAGTTGTTAATTATTCACACACACACACACACACACACAAAGTACATTCAAAGATTGATTCTGTCAACTCTTTTATTACCTCAGATCATTTTTCAAAGCAAGCCAATAACAAGCTTCGAAGGCCATTTACCATCCTTGCTCCCAAGAGACTTTTGTGGTGCCTGGAAGGTTATTCTTGAGGGCTTTATGTCTACTTTTTCAAAGTCAATAGTTTGTGTGTGTGTATGTGTGTGTGTGCGCGCGCGTGCGCCTGTGTATGTGTGTGTTCCAGTTTCCATAGTAAGAGAGAAAATATAGAAATATTATGCAAAAAAACATAGTTTTCTTTAGATCAGAAACTAATATTTTTGAGTCAGCCATATATATATATATTGTTTGAAGAACTTCAAATAAAATGCCGTCACAGAGCACCATAGAGGGAGCACTCAGCCAGCTGTTTGGCATGACAGGTGGCTCAGTATATTTGTAATTGGTTTTAAAAATATATATATAATATACCATACTTCCTTTCTCCAAACAGCCATCTTTATATTTAGGGAAAAATAATTGTTGGGTTCTAGACTTTTTTAATATATATTTTGTTGAAATGGAATTGAGTAAGTTCAAGTGTTTCTGTGCATATGTTTTTCCTATTCAGTTTCAGTGATCCAGGTGGCAGTGAGTAAATATGACAGAAGTTGATAACAGATTCCCCTAAATGGTGCTTCGGATCTGAGAGAGGTCTGATGGGGAGAAAGAGAAACTACCCTAGAGCCCTGTTTTGATAACCCTGCAGGTAGTGAGGGAAACCCCAGGAAAGAGGCTTCCCCTCTGTCAGGACGTGGATGTACGCTGCCGAGGAGGAGCGCCAGGCTTGTTGGTAACCAGGGCCGCGGGCCAGCTGGGCTTGTTGATGAGGCGTTAGCTGGCAAGCAGTGACAGTGGCAGTCTCTCCTGGTAGGCAAGGGAACTGTGACATAGGGGGACTTGCATTTCTTTACGCTTCTTTCACTTCCCCTTCCCCCTAGAGTGACCCCATTAGTGAGTCTTTGTGCATGAATCTGCGTAGTGGCACCTTCCTCTTTTGTATGACACAGCAGATGGGAGACTGAGCTCCAAATGGAAAAGATAAATACAGCAATGGTTGCTTCCAGTCTGACAGTCTGAGGACGAGGTCCCTCTCAACAGTCCTTCACTGTCCTCTAGAGTGCTTTTCCCATCCCAAAGGATGTAAGAGAGACCAGCTAGACCCCCCTCTGGGCCTTTGTGGAATTCCTCAGGTTTGGATTTATATTTTTTTTCCTTCAAGCTTTAGGGGACAGTTGCACAGAACAATCAGAGTGATTACCTCACTGCCGAAAACCCAGAGGGGCACGCGTGCTTGAGTGTGCCTGACTCCTCTCCTGCGTCCCTCCCTTCCTCCCATCCCTTGCCTTACAGTTAAAGCGACCTGCGACCTGCGGTACCATCCCAGTCTGCGCACTCAGCCACCTTTGCGTCTCGGGCCGCCCCATGCCACTGGTGGGCGTGCGCACTTACAATGCCTGCTCTTCTAAAGCCATCCCAGCCTCTTCCTCAGTAGACCGCATACCCTCCCTCCCTCCCTCCCTGCCATTCAGCTCAGAGCCAGAACTTTTGCCTTCCCAGCTCTGCAGTGAGGCCTGCTGTCCCCTTTCTTCTTCCTGGGAGAGGTGAAGGGAGGTGAGCTCCCTGCCACCCAGTCGGCCTTTGGTTCGTGTTTTCTCCCCATGTGTATATATGCCATATGTAAATATGCCATATATATGTGCCAACAAGTTGATCTATGCCATCTTTTCTAATCGGCATGCAGATAGGAATTTTGAGTTTCTTCGCAGTAACTAGTATAATGAGCACTGGTTATTTTTGTACAAAAGAAAAAGAAAAAAACAAACAAACAGAAAACTGACTGTTGTAGTCTGCATGACAGACATGATGATATCAAAGCAATGTATATCCTAGTGTGTATTGCCATAGTTTGCAGTTCAGCTTAACAGTGCACCCCATCTGTATTTGCATTTGATATTATTTAAGCTCTATGTATAATGTTTCGCATGTATTTATATGGTTCTTGTGGGGGATGCTATAAACTGACAAATCTGTAATGCAAATGTGTCATCCCACTGATACGGGAAGAAGAGTTTGGAAAGGGGTCATTTGTTGGAACCAATAAAGCTTTTTGCTGATGAGCAGAAACCAATGCCATGCACTGAGAATAAAAACCCATGCCCACTTGTAACGTGCCGTCTTCCATGTGTCTTTCGGGTCTCACCGTTGGGGCTGCCAGGGCTGAGAAGGGTTTTTACCTTCACCACCTTTAGAGCAAAACCAGGGCCCAAGCATGTCCCTTCCCATGACATGCTTCCTTCAGGGGCCCGCAGCCCTGGGGACCAGCCTCGTTCCCTAGGAGAGCCAGCTTTTCTGTACACTCTACGGCTGGAGTTGGGTAGAGTTCATGATCCAGGTCCTGAAAAGCTGAGGCCTTGGGAAGGATGAGCAAGAGGACTCCCGGCTTAGGTCCTCCTTCTTCTCCTCCTTCGTCCCCTCCTCCTTACCTTCTCCCCTCCTTTCTTAAAATGCCTTTTGACAAAGTTAGTCCCCCCTTAGAGTAACTGCTTTTCCTGGAGACATTCTCCGCCATCCACCTCCTCTTCCCTTTGTTTTTAACGTTCCATTCATTACATTTTGGCGTCATGACTGTGTTAGACTCCAATCTCTGATCAAAGAAGGTAGGCCATTTACCTCTGGGCTGCCATATCTCTCAGATGACTCCTTGTAGCTCGCACCCAGGTATACAACCAAGTTCCCTGCTCCCTTTTAAGTCACCCCCTCTAGAAAAGAGCCCTGTCTCTTCTCCAGGGTTCCTTAGTAAAGTGTGTCGGTGAAGGACAGCCAGCGTTCCCTGGTGGTCTCTCTGGGATGAATCTGAAGGGACCAGCCTGGATGGAAGACTTGCAGGCTATGTCTTAAAGAAAAAAAAAAATTTGATGTGTATGGGTGTTTTGCCTGCATGTACGTCTGTGCTTCTCATGCCTGGTGCCCAAGGAGGCCAGAAGATGTCTTTCGATCCCTTGGAACTGGACTTACAGATGCCTGGGAGCCTCCATGTGGGTGCTGGGAGCAGCAAGTGTTCTTAACCACTGAGCCATCTCGCCAGCCCTCAGCCTAAGCATTATCTCCAGCGGTCTTGCCTGTCCCAGATTGCTCTCCATAGGCATGGACACATGGCCCACTTGGTTTCTTTAAAGTGGAAGCTAGGGAAGTAATTAATTTAAGTAGCTTTAAACTTTAAAGGACTTGGGGCCTTATTTGAGAACAGAAGCCATAAAGCAGTCACTTGCTTTTCTCCCCCATTGTAAGTGCCCTTCTAAATGCCCTTGCTAAAAAGGATGTCCACACACCCATAACATCCTTTCTGGAGCATGACCCCATATTTTTCCTTTTACTTTCCCATCTTGCCCTTATTGGGACTCTCTCTGTGCCTCTCTTAAGACATCAGATTTTTTGTTTTTGTTTTTTGTTTGTTTGTTTGGTTTGGTTTTTGGTTTGTTGTGTGTGTTTTTCTGTTTGTTTGTTTGTTTGTTTTTTGAGATAGGGTTTCTCTAAGTAGCCCTGGCTGTCCTGGAACTCACTCTGTAGACCAGGCTGGCTCGAACTCAGAGATCCACCTGTCTCTTTCTCTTGAGTGCTAGGATTAAAGATATGCACCACTACTGCCCGCCTAAGAACTGGATCTTAAAAACATAACCTCCTGATCCAGCATGTGGTAAGGAAAGGTGTCTGGCTAAGACTGCTGTGTCTTAAGACATTGGTTCAATGGGACATGAAGGCCAGTTGGGTTCCTTGGGCCCAAATGAACATGAAAGAGAGCATGCTCAGCTGGGTGGTGGCTCACGCCTTTAATCCCAGCACTCGGGAGGCAGAGGCAGGCAGGTCTCTGAGTTTGAGGCCAGCCTGGTCTATAGAGTGAGTTCCGAGATAGCCAGGGCTACACAGAAAGACCCTGTGTCAAAAAAAAAAAAAAAAAAGAAAAGAAAAGAAAAGAAAAGAAAGAAAAAGACAGAAAGAGAGTGTGCTTACCTTCTTTAATTCCAGTTTTAGGAAATAATTGTTTTGATCTCCATCTTCAACGTTTTGTAAGGTCCCCTCTCTTGGTTACATGTCCTCTCTGTGTGGTCACTGAGTTGTTTAAAGCTCTACCAAGTCAGCCTGATCCCTCCCAAGCATACACATGGCCAAGGGGCTGGCAGGTCCATAGATAACCCATCAGATACCACACAGCGGCACCAGCTCCTGCCTTGCATCTGTTAAGACCTGACCTTGTCACTTCAAGCAGGAAGGAGAGGGGGAATGGCAAGTCCTTCACAGGCAAACGATTTTGCAACTTTACTGTAAATAAAATAAATATGTCTCTATCTCTGTGTGGTGTCGCCAGCTTCTGCTTGCCTTCAGTGTGAACCTAAGTCATGGACATGGTGGCTCAAGCCTTTAATCCCAACATTGGGAGGCAGAGGTTCTCCCAATGTTGGATCTTTGAGTTCAAGGTCAGCATGGTTTACAGAGTGAGTTCCAAAATAGGCAGGGCTATGTCGAGAGACCCTATCTCAAAAAACAAAAATAACAACAACAACAACAACAAAAAGAAATAGCCTGCTATGTGTGTAGACCAAGAAACGTTCATCCTGGAAACTGGTGCTTTCTAGCTCTGAATCCTGATATGGAGCCTGCTGGCAACAAAGCTTGACTTTGCTTGTAAGACTGTCTTCAGCAATTCCTCCCTGGGGTAGCACCACTTCCCCCGGCCCTAGAAAAGATAGATATAGATATATAGATATAGATATATAGATATCAGGCATACACACGTGTACATAAACTAAACTGAACAAAGTTTTTAAAAAAAACATTGAACTAGCTTATCCAGAAGGTCTCTGCCAGCTCTAAAATTCAGGTTCTACCTCCACAATAACAACAAAAATTAAACATGCCTGAGGAGATAGCTCAGTCGGGAAAGTGTTCGCCATGGAAGCAAGAAGGCCCGAGTTCCAGCCCCAGAGGCCACGTGAAACAGCCAGCCACAGTGATGTGCTCTTGTAATCCCAATGCTGGGGGGATAGAGACAGGCAGAACACTGGAACTCACTGGCCTGCCAGCCAGCCACGCCTACCTAGTGAGCACCAGATACTAAGAGACCCTCTCTCAAAGAGCCAGGTGGATGACTGCGGAGAACATCATCCAAGAGTGACCTCTGGCCTGCATAGCTCCATATGCACACAGGATCACCCCCCCACACACACACAATATGTATGTATATGTATATACAGTGCTGCATGTTTGAAGACACGATCCCAATTTAGACACCTCGAGTATCCCTGCCCCCCCCCTTTTTTTTTTACAAACATATGCACAAATAGAATCTAATAAAACTTGGTGATTGGAGCCCGGACTGTTGATAGTATTATCATCTAGCTGATTGTATAGTAGACTGGAAAAGTGTTTTGGAATTTGATGTAGAAAGAGCAGTCGTTTGGAAACCCAGAGTTGTAACCCACTGGAATGTTGGAAATTCAACAGACGTGGGGTGCCGCCACGTGAGGCAAGGTGGAGAGCCTGGCCCGGGAATTAAAAAAGCCTGTGCCAGATCCTGACCCTGCTAGCCTCTTGCTGGGTGACTTCAGGGTCTTCCCAACCCTGACAGTCGCTCGATTCCTCCTCTAGTCTTTAGCTGTTATTAACAACTATCAGAGACTGAACGGAATTTCTCTTCCTCTGTTTTATCTCCCTGGAATGCAGCGTAATTGTGTGCTTTGAACATTACCGCATACCGGGACATGTGCCAGCAGGCTTCCCCTCACGGCCCCGCCACCTGTATCCGTATCAAAGACAAATGCTCCACGTCCCTGAAGTGTGAGACTGCTTTTCTAAATCAACTCAGGCACTGACCAAGCTTGGGCCCAGCAAGATCTGTGAGAGGATATGGTACCCTTGTCCCCTGTCCTTGGACATTCGTCCACTCATTCAGTAAACAAGTGCAGTATTGATCACGCCAGGCATGTGTCCACTGAAGTTGAAGCGAAGCATTAAGCGAAGCAACCCACCCCTTTGAATTTAGTCTCCATGAGAGGGACAAAGCAAATATGAAGCATGTCAAGGGATGATTAGGGCCAGGGTAGAAAGTAAGGTGAGCACAAGATGGGTGAACAGAATAGTCAGGGAACGCCATTGTGACAGAGACAATTGTTTATTATTTATATTATGTGTACTGGTGTTTTGCCTGCGTGTGTGTGTGTGTGTGTGTGTGTGTGTGTGTGTGTGTGTGTGTGTATGTGTGTATCTGTGTGAAGATGCTGAATCTCCTGGAACTAGAGTTACAGACAGTTATGAACTGCGGTGTAGGTGCTGGGAATTGAACCCAGGTCCTCTGGAAGTGCAGCTAGTGCTCTTAACCACTGAGCCATCTCTCCAACCTGGCCCCCTAATCCAGAGGTAGTTAAAGTGAGCTGGGTGAGTATGTGCCTTAAAGGGTCAGCCCTGAAGCAGGAGATCTTACTTGTTTGGGGGCCTGCAAGGAGATCACAGATTGAACCCAGTGACCCAGTGGGAAAGTGAAAATGACAAATTCAGATCCTGGCGGCTTTTGTGCAATGAAAGTTCATTGGAGGATCTTAACAGAGGGTGCGACCAGCTACTCCCTACAGTTTAAAGGGGTCCCACGGTCTGTCATACAGCTGTGATCTAGAAGACAATGGAAAGCTATACCTTGGGTGACCTAACCTCCTAAGAGTACCAAAAGATCCAGGCCCCATTGCCATGCCATTGTCCTATGGCACACAAAATAGTGAGAAGGAAGTGCCACCCTCATGTGTTTGGGGCATCCAGTCAATGGAATGAACAATGGCTATTGAAGGGACTCTAGCCAGCCAAAGCACGGCAACATGGCTCTGGCAGGCCTTGCCCTCCGCCTATTCCCTCTGCCTTGCTAAAAAAACATTAAATCATGTTCCTAAAGCTAGCCCCCAAGGTCTAGTCCCTTATTTGGACAATTCCTCTTCCTGAGGCTGACTACTGAGGTCCAGCTGTCGAACTGTTGAAGTCCAGCGATCAAAAGTCCCCTTTGGCTCACCTAATTAACATGCCCAATTAAAATGAAGCACCTCGGGAGTGCTTCAATGGCTCAGAGGTTAAGAGCACTGGCTGCTCTTCCAGAGGACCCGGGGTTCAATTCCCAGCACCCGCATGGCC